CTTTATTTCTTTGGTTAAGTTTATTCCTAGGTATCTTAATTTTTTTCTATGATGGTAAATGGGATTGTTTTTTTAGTTTCTCTTTCTGTGAGTCCATCATTGGTGTATAAGAATGCCGTCAATTTCTTGACATTAATTTAGTATCCTGCTACTTTGCCAAATTCACTTATTAAGTCTAGGAAATTTCAGATAGAGTCTTTGGGGTTTTTTACGTATTGTATCATGTCATCTGCGAATAATGACAGTTTCACTTCCTCCTTTCCAATTTGGATCCCTTCTATTTTTTCTTCCTGACTAATTGCTGTGGCTAAGACTTCCACTACTATGTTAAATAATAGTGGTGAAAGTAGGCATCCATGTCTTGTTCCTGTTCTTAAGGGAAATGCTTTTAGTTTTTGCCTACTGAGTATGATGTTGGCTGTAGATCTTTCATATATGGCCTTTATTATGTCGAGATATGATATCTCTATTCCCAGATTGCTGAGTGTTTTTATCAGTGTTTTATGCTGAGTTCCTTCTTCTTGAATTTTTTGAAGTAGTTTGAGGAGAATGGGTGTTAGTTCTTTTTTGAATGTTCGGTAAAATTCCCCTGTGAAGCCATCCGAGCCTGGGCTTTTGTTTGCTGAGAGAGTCTTGATTACATCTTCAATTTCTTCTGTTGTTATTGGTCTGTTCAAGTTTTCTATCTCTTCCCAGTCCAGTTTTGAAGACTACGTGTTTCTAGAAAGTTGTCCATTTCGCTTAGATTGTCAAATTTGTTGCCATATAATTCTTCATAGTAGTTGTTGACGATCTTTTGTATTTCCGTGGTGTTGGTTGTTACTTCTCCTCTTTCATTTCTGATTTTGTGTATTTGGGTTCTCTTTCTTTGTTTCTTGGTGAGTCTAGCTAATGGTTCATTAATCTTGTTTCTTTTCAAAAAACCAGCTCTTTGTTTCATTGATCCTTTGAATTGTTTTTTGGACTCTGTGTCATTTATTTCTGCTCTGATCTTTACTATTTCCTTCCTTCTACTTGCTCTAGGGTTTCCTTTTTGTTTGCCTTCTAGTTCTTTAAGTTGTGAGGTTAGGTAGTCTATTAGAAATTTTTCTTGCTTCTTGAGGTAGGCCTGTAGTGCTATGAACTTGCCTTTCAGAACTGCTTTCGCTGTATCCCATAGGTTTTGTGTTGTTGTGTGTTCATTTTCATTGGTTTCCAGGAAGTTTTTAATTTCTTCCTTGATCTCCTTATTGACCCATTTGTTATTTAATAACATGCTATTTAGATTCCATGTGTTCAAATGTCTTTGCATGTTCTTGCTGCAATTGATTTCTAGTTTTATGCCATTGTGATCTGAGAAGATGCTTGATATGATTTCATTCTTGAACTTGTAGAGACTTAGTTTGTGTCCTAACATGTGGTCTATCTTGAGAATGTCCCATGTGCACTTGAGAAGAATGTGAATTCAGTAGTTTTGGGGTGTAATTCTCTGTAGATACCTTTAAATCCATTTGGTCTAGTGCTTCATTTAGAGTCTCTGTTTCCTTGCTAATTTTTTGTCTAGATGATCTATCCAGTGATGTCAGCAGGATGTTGAAGTCCCCTGCTATGATTGTATTGCTATCGATTTCTCCTTTGAAGTCTTCCAGAAGATTTTTGATATATTTTGGTGCTCCTATATTGGGTGCATATATGTTTATCGAGGTTATATCTTCCTGTTGGATAGATTCTTTCAATATTATGTAGTGGCCTTCTTTGTCTCTAGTTATGGTCTTCATTTTGAAATCTAGTTTATTAGATATGAGTATTTCTACACCAGCTTTTTTTTCCTTTATGTTTGCTTGGAATATTTTTTTCCATCCCTTCACTTTCAACCTAAGTGAGTCTTTTGTTATGAGGTGGGTCTCTTGTAAACAACATATAGGTGAGTCATGCTTTCTTATCCAATCAGATACTCTGTGTCTTTTTATCGGAGCATTCAATCTGTTTACATTTAAGGTGATTATTGATATGTACTTATTTATTGCCATTTTTGTTTAGTGTGGTTCTATTTTTCTTCCTTTCTCCTGCTAATTACAGCAGTCCTTTTAATATTTCTTGCAGTGCTGGTTTGGTGCTAATATATTCTCTTAGCCTTTTTGTTTTTTTTTTTCTGGGAAGCTCTTTATTTGACCTTCTATTTTGAATTATAGCCTTGCTGGATAGAGTAGTCTTGGAATCAGATCCTTGTTTTTCATGACCTTGATTACCTCATGCCATTCCCTTCTGGCCTGTAGTGTTTCTGTTGAGAAGTCAGCTGAGAGTCTTATGGGGTTTCCTTTGTAGGTAGCCTATTGCTTATCTCTTGCTGCTTTTAGGACTCTCTCTTTTCTTTAATTTTTGGCATTTTGATTACTATGTTTCTTGGTGTGGGCCTGTTTGGGTTCTTCTTACTTGGGGCTCTCTGTGCTTCTTGAACTGGAATGCCTTCTTCCTTCACCAAATTAGGGAAGTTTTCTGTCACTATTTCTTCAAATATATTTTCTCACCCTTGCTCATTTTCTTCTTCTTCGAGGACTCCTATGATGCGAATATTATTACGTTTCCAGTTGTCCCATAGTTCTCTTAAGCTATCTTCCTATTTTTTAATTGTTTTTTATTTTTGGTTTTCTGATTGATTTTTTTCTACCCTGTCTTCTAATTCACTGATCCTGTCCTCAGCTTCCTCTACTTTATTATTTAGACTTTCCAATGTGTTCTTTATTTCTGCTATGTCATTCTTCATTTCTTCTTGGCGTTTTTAATTTCCAACTGGTTGATTTTCAACATTTCTGTCTTTACTCATGGTGCTCATGTCCTTACACATGCTGTTGAGCTTCCACAAGATCATGGCTCTGAATTCTGGTTCTGTTAACTCATTTATGTCATTTTCAGTAGAGGTCTCTTGTTCTTTCATTTGGCTTTTGTTTCTGTATTTCACCATTTTGGCTATCACCATGGGCTTTGGAGCCTGCCAAACTTTCCCTGTGGGTGTTGGTGTTCTGCTGTTTGTGGCTCCCTCTCCTGGGTTTGGATGAGGCAGGGAGGACCCACGTTAAACACCACTGTCAAGTCTTACTTTCCTGGTAGAGTGTTAGCCCAGGGACTGGTCCAGTTACCCTCTAGCTTTTTGCCTGGAGGCTATTTGTAGCGGTCACTTGAAGAACCTTGTCTTCTCAGTTGAATGAAAAACTCCCTCAGGTGCTCAGGGTAAGAGCATTTCCCGAGGGTGGGGCAGATGCTGGTTGTTAATTGGCCTCGATTAGCATTTCAATGGCCATTGGGTGGGGTTGAATCTCTGAGGGAGGGGCTGCCACCTATCCCCAGGGCTCTGGGAAGGAGTAAGATGACCACAGTCCTGCGTGGCTGCAACTCAGCAAAAGCTCTGAGCATCCTCCAAATCCCGTGTCCCCACACAGTTCCAGTCCAGTGTGCCCTCCCTCTGCTGGAGCCCAAGGTGAGTGGCTGCTGCTATTTTAGCCTCTGTCCCAGCTCTGCGCTGTGGAGTCGCTTGGGCGTTTAACCCGAGGGTGCTGCTCCCAGCTAAGGCCATCACTCCTGGTCGAGGCCGCTGCTCCCAGCTGAGGCTGCTGCCAACTGTGGGCTCAAAGCCCCCTCTCGTGTCTCCGCTAGCCTACCAGGATTGAGTCAGTGTCCCTGGTTATGTGGTTCTCCAAGCTGCTTTTCGTTTTTTTCCTGACGATTTGTCTTTATTTTTGTTGTAATTCCAGTTTGGTCCTGGGAAATGGACTGTGTAGCTTCCATTCACTCCGTCACCATTTTTTTCTCAGTCAGTGTCTATGCTTTTAATCACTGTGCTAACATGTCTCTATGGAAAAAGCTGTATTCAGAGTAGGTACTGTCTTTGTAATATATGTTTTGCTATTAAGGGGCAACATTTTCTCATACCTAAAGCTGTCATCATCATTTTTAATAATTAACATGTTTTGCCATCAATTGATACATCTCATTTTACTTACTTTCATTATCTAATGCTGGACTTTCAAACTATTTCTAATTTCTTTAATTATATATAAAAATGCTGCAGCAATAAGCAAATTTTGCATTTTTATCTAGCCGTTTTCCTTTTTTTTTATCCTCACCTGAGGACATTTTTGCATTATCTTCAGATAGAGTGGGAACGGGGTGGGGGGGGGGAGAGAAACACCGATGTGGGAGAGACACATCGAGTGGTTGCCATCACAGAACCCCAACCAGGGCCAGAAACAAACTGCCCTTCATGGAAACCGAACCTGGGTCCCTCTGGTCTGTAGGCCAATGCTCTAACCATTGAGCAAACTGGCCAGAGCTCTTTTTCTTCCTTTAAATTTTATGTCTTTATGCTAATATTCCCAAAATGGTTTGACTGACTGAAAGTATATAAAAGTGCTACATTACTGATATGTAATGTATACTGCTTTTTAAATTTCATTATATAATGCTACTAGCAAGTAAAGAATGCTCAGCCCAGCTGGTGTGGCTCAGCGATTTAGTGTCAACCCCTGCACCAAGAGGTCGCCAGTTTAATTCCTGGTCAGGGCATATGCCCAGGTTGTAGGCAGAATCCCCAGGGGGGGCATGCAGGAGGCCGCCAATCAATGTTCTCTCATGGATGTTTCTGTCTCTCTCTCCCTCTCCTTTCCTCTCTCTCTAAAAATCAACAAAGAAAAAAAAAAAGAATGCTCAGATCTTCCCATTTCCTCCAATATTTAATTAATATAAAGTGGTTAAGGATGACTTATGATATAAAATAGTTAAACCAACAAATATTTAAATTTTTAAATGAGCCAAATGTTTTCCTCTAGCAACATAAAAGGTGGGAATAATCCTATTATTTGTGGCTTATGAGATTGGTGCTATCTTGACTTTTTAAAGCAGCCTCAGAAAGAGTCAACAACATACCCAAATTCACTTCTAAGTGTCAGACCTGGAGTCTGAGCCCAGATCTGCCTGACTCCAAAATCTGTGTTTTAGATATTGAGGTGGGGAAAGGGGAGTCAGTGTATGTCAAGATATTAGAAATTGTATAAAAAACTTTTATTTCAATCTTCATTGAACATTATTTACCTCATAAAGGGGTAAACTACCCTGGGGTAATGATCATAAATAGAGGAATTACATTTCCCTGATGTATTTCTCTGATCAGTAATTTCAAAGATTGTAAAGAATGACAATAATAGTTAACAAAACACTTCATCTATCTTTATCTCCAACTATATGCCTTCATTACAATCTAGTTTTATTTATATTCTAAGCCACAAGCTAAAGAATATAAACATTACTCCAAAAACATTTTTTCTTAAATGTTATGTTGTAGTATTATATACTCCTCATAGTCCAGAAAGATTGCAACTTTTATAACACAGGAGAAAAGTCACTGAATGTTAAATAGAAAAAACACACAGGATTGGGAGCTTTAAATTCAGACCCTGACACTTACTAGCTATGTCTTCCAGAATGTTAGTACCAAATTCCTACTTCATCAGGATATTGTGTAATTAAGGGGGATAACAATTAAAAAGCTCCTAGCACATGGCAGATGGTCAAAGAAATTTTAGCTCCCTTTCCTTTAAAGAATGACACATTTATGTTATACCAAGGATACCGGTTTTAAAAGTCATGCTTCATTATTTCCCTCAGACAAACTGTAGCATAACATGAAGCGTCAAGATCAAAAGAAATCAAAAGAGATAAAGTTGCTTCATCGATGTGGGAACCTTCTGCTCTGCCATCAATATCATGCTCTTCTATTAGTTGGTATGAGAGATTGTGGGGTTGTTTCAAAATCTTTCTATAGCATCCTGGAACGTTCAGCTTCAGAGCAGGTACTTTAAACCTACATGTCTGTAGTCCATCTCTGCTAAGTACTTCCTGGTACCACAGCCCTGCTTTGTTCTTTGGGTACTGAATGTTATATCCAAGCACTGGAAGAACCACCTGTGCAAGGAAAGGGGAAGAAAAGATACGTGAAACAACCTTCAGAAAAATATATGATCATATTTTAAATGTATTTTTATGACTGGTACCTAGATCTGTAAGAACAGTCTCAATATAAACATACAATCAGCCTAAAACATGCTACTACTTTATTTTTTATGCTTCCAGGTAAAGAAAAGAACTAACTAAAATCAAGAAGGACTCATCATAACTAAGATAAACAATTCAAGTAGACAAACGACTGCTAAGGTAGAAGAGATGGAAGAGAAGTTTAGGTACATTTAGCAACCAACAAACACTTAACCTCTGTGCAGTCATACAATCCTGAAAGCATATTCTTTCTGTAACACAAATATCCCCTACTGCTCAATCACATAACAGGTATTTTAGTGGATAATTTTACATTCTTCTTACTTATTTAAAAACATAAAAGCAAACAAGAGACAGCAAAAGTAATGTTTATTTCCTCAGCTGCTTATGAGTAAATTAAAAAAAAAAAAAATTGTGGGGTTTTCCTCCTTTGCTGATGACTTCTAGACATTTTTCTGGAACAGTACCAAAGGGTAGTCAAAAAAACAAGGCGAAAAATTCAAATCCACACCATATTAATGAGCTTCGAATTCATTATGCTAATTAAAAGAAGCCAGATACAAAAGGCCATATACTATATGATTACATTTATATGACATTCTTTCAAAGGCAAAACCTCAGGGATAGAAAGTAGAGCTGTTGCCAGGGGCTGGGTGTTGACTACAAAGGGCAAGGGAAAATTTTGAAGAGAAACTATTCTTTATCCTGATTTCTGTGGTAGTCATATGACTGTATACATTTATGAAAATTCATATAAATGTAAACTGAGGAGAGTGAATTTTAGTGTATATGTATTATACCTAAATTTGAAAGTGGTAAAAAGAAAAATATGAGGTAGAAGAACTGGTCACATTTTGTCTTTTTTTAAAAATATGTTTTTATTGATTTCTTAGAGAGAGAGAGACACACACATTGATGTGAGAGAGATACATGATTGGCTACCTCCAGTATGCCCCCCTACTGGGGATGGAGCCCACAACCCAGGCATGTGCCCTGACCAGGAATCAAACTGGGACCTCTTGGTCCATGGGACAATGTTCAGTCCACTGAGCTACATGGGCCGGGCTCACTTTTTGTCTTTTGGGGACAATGTCTACATTTAGATCTAAGTGACACTAATTTTTAAGCAAATTTACCTGATGTATTGCATATGTATTAGCCGATTCCTCTTCTTCAGTCACTAGATGAACCTATTTTTTTAAAAAATGATAAAAAAAATATGGATGATTCTCAAATGTTCCAAATTCCTTCAATGTTTCCTAATTCTGTTAAGTATAATTTGACTCCTATGATAAAAATACATATACCCAAACAAAATCTTTTCATGGTTTGTTTCTGGGGGAGCATACTACATAAAATTGAATGACTCTTCCTGCCTTCACCACTGATATCTGAAGTTGGAACACACAGATTATGGTGGGCAGTTTAACATTTTAAGGTGACACTTTCACCTCGGTCACCAACAATCTTTTTTCTAAATTACAAAGTCATTCTTTATTATGCTGAATCACAAATCTGCTTTCGTGAAACCACCCCTTCCTCATACTCTATGGGAAAACTCTACGAGAAGTGGTGTTTTTCAAAGTATGCTTCATAGGACAGTTATAGGTATCACATGTAGGAGGCGTGTGATATACTAAGTATGAGAAATGTTGTTATAGGACACCACATGAGAGCTCAAGTATAAAGACAGCTGCCATCATTCCAAAAGGACTACCTTCCCAAAGCATTCACCATACAATACAGCGTCTAGATCTCCTCTAAATTTGCGTGCTTTCCCCTAGATTCTTTACTCTTATCAATGAAGTTTCACTTTGTTTGTTTTTCACTTGAGTTTATTTATTTATAAGTAAATAACCCGTTTTAACTGTTTAACTCAGAAACAAATATAAAACTCCAGGTGTGATCTGACCAAAATACATAGGACTATGATCTCTCTCTATTTTTTTTTTATTAATTTATTTTTTATTATTATTTTTTTTTATCGTCACCCGAGGACATTTTTTCATTTTTTGTTCAGATAGAGTGGGAAGGAGAGAGAGGAAGAGACAGAGAGAGAAACATCGACATGAAAGGGACCCATCAAGTGGTTGCCACCCACACGACCCAACCAGGGCCAGGGACAAACTGCAACCGAGGTATATGACCTAAGCAGGAATTGAAGGAGAAAATGTTCTCTTCTCTCCTACAGCTCCAAGACGAAGAGCTGATACAATTCTGATCACAAAACTCCCTGCAAATGTTATGTTGAACAAAGAAGTCTATAAGATACATGTATTTCAGAGATTATTGCTACATCTTGTCAAAGTAACCTTTAACTTCTGTAAATCTAAATTAAAAATGGTGGACTTACTAAATAATGTACTGCTCAGGTAATATTAAAATGGACATGTTTTCTGAAAGGTGTTTTAAAAAAACACAGATTCCAAAATATATAAAGTACTCATACAACTCAACAAAAGGAAGACAAATAATCCAATTAAAAAATAGGCAAAGGACCTGAATAGACACTTTTCCAAAGAGTACATACAAATGGTCAAGAGACATGAAAAAACACTCAACATCACTAATCATTAGAGAGATGGAAATTAAAATGACAATGAGGTATTGCCTCACACTTGCCAGAATAGCTACCATCAATACATCAATAAACAACAAGTGTTGGTAAGAATGTGGATAAAAGGGAACACTAGTGTACTGTTGGTGGGAATACAGACTGGTGCAGACACCATGAAACAGTGTGAAGTTTCCTCAAAAAATTAAAAATTAAACTGCCATTTGACCTAGTGATCTCGCTTCTAGGAAGATATCCTAGGAATCCTGAAACATCAACCAGAAAGAATATAAGTACCCCTATGTTCATAGCAGTGTTATTTACAATAACTAAGATCTAGAAACAGCCCAAGTGCCCATCAGTCGATGAATGGATAAAAAAGCTGTGGTACATTTACATAATGGAATACTATGCAGCTGTAAAAAAGAATATTACCCTTTGATACAGCATGGAGGAACCTGGAGATGATTATGCTAAGTGAAATAAGCAAAAGATAAGCCTCACATGATCTCACTTATATGTTGACTCTAATGAACAAAATAAAGTGATAAATACAGTAGAACCAGAGGCATGGAAACACGGAAGAGACTAAAGAATGTCAGAGGGAAGAAGGGAGGGTGGGGCAGGAACAGGTTAACCAAAGAACTTATATGCATTTATGCACTGCTCATGGACACAGATAATAGAGTGGTGAAGGCCCGGGGTGGGGCCGGAACTGGATGGAGGGGCACAGTAGGAGAACAAAAAGGAGGACATCTGTAATACTCTCAACAATAAGATTAAGACAAAAGTTAAGCCCTGGCCAGTTTGGCTCAGCAGTTAGAGCATCAGCCCACAGACCAATGAGTTGCAGGTTCAATTCTGGTCAAGGGCACGAACCTCAGTTGCGGTTGATCCCTGGCCCTGGTTGGGTTGTGCGGGAGGCAACCAATCAATGTGCTTCTCTAACATCAATGTTTCTCTCTCCCTCTTTCCCCCTCTCCCTCCCACTCTATCTGATGATAAATAGAAAAATATCCTTAGGTGAGGATTACAAAACAAGAATAAAAGTTAAGCAAACACCAGACTGTATTTTACACAAATGCCACAAAACAAAGTGATTTAGACAAACCTATAAAAAGTCAGACAATAGAAATAAAACTCACAAGATGTTATCTTCATTCAAGCTACCAGTTCCCTTAATGGAAATTAAGTTAATAGCCTTAAAAGAAATATTAACAATGTTTCTTTCAGATATAAAGAGAATTATAGTACAGTGAGGAATGGGAGATTAGTAAATGCAAATTAATTTACTTCTAATGAATAAAGATTTCACCGACATTTTTTTTAAAACCTTATAATTTTTCATTATTTATCAGAAGAGGATTATTTACATTTCTCTTCTTTCATTCATGAGGTGAAATAAAACCTATGATGCTGCTAGATTTCTTTCGACACAGTTTTAGAGTCTGTGTCTCAATTAAATGGCCATTTTTAGTAATTTATGCTCCTAGTGATTACTTTCTTATTTAAATATTCAAAAGCCATCCATTTAATGGAATAATAAAGCAGACATCTGTTCTGGCTTCCTCGGCCTTTACTACCTCTTTTCTGGTAGCGCATTCTCTAGGGAGCTCCCCTCCCAGTTCTCAAACGCAGTTTGGGTGGAATGGTTCCAGGAAGAAGCCCTGGAAACACAGGCTTAAAACCGCACACTCCAGTCCACAACGATGGGTTTGGGGAATTGTGACCCAAGCCATGCCATTCCTAGTCACTGAGACAGACTCAATTCCTTGGCTTTTGTTGAAACTGTTGAGGCAAAAACCCCTCTTTTCTGGAGAAGTCGTGAGAAATAAGCCAAGAGTTGTTAATAACAATCTTGCCATTAAAGAAATAAGCCAGACTGAGGAAGGATCTAACAGAAAAACAGCTGAAAGCTCAAGAAGATGAGGGATGAAGTACGATACTGCATAAGACCCTGGTACAGCTGGGCCTGAATCAATCACAGACTTCCAGTTATGAGGGCCAATAAATTCCTGTCTGCTCTCCTTAAGTTAGTTTGAGGAGGGTTCCACTAGTTGACATGAATAGAAATGTTTCTGAGGTATTGTTAAGAAGAAAAAAGCAAGTTGTGAAATTGCACTTACACAAAAGAAATACAGACAACATTACATGCCCTATATACCGTTATAATAGAATCTTCTTTTTTTTTTTTCATATTTTAAGCTTTGAGCCTCTAAGCTCTGTCTTGTCTTGTCTTGTCTTTTCTCGGTGTTAACTAAGAGAATAAAAATCGTTTTCTGTGGACATTTATGTGAAAGCACAGAAAAAATAAAAATCTTTTCCGTGGATATTTATGTGAAAGCCTAGAAAAAGATCTAGAAGGAAACAGGCCAAACAACAGAGTTCAATCTTCTGGAGACAAGGAGGGGATCACAACAGTGCTGACAGGGATGACAGCTGCCTCTGCAATGTTTTGGTTTTTATTTTTAAAGAAACTGTTTTGTGCATTACTTGTGTAATTTTTTAAAGAATGTGTTCTTCAAAGGAAGGTTTACTATCTTTGTACCTTTTACTTCAAACCACTATTTTAGTTTTCCACTTATTGACATGTATTAAGCCTCAGCTAATAGCAAAGTAGAAGCAGGAGATGAGCAAAATATACGTTAAGAAATAAAATCCATATTTAGTTTTAAATTGCTTCTAAAACAAGGGCTTCTGAAAAGTGGCGTTCCTGCTAAGGTAACTACTCCTGGGAAACACAGATGAAATGACACTTACTTTATTATTTGGGAAATGCTCATCATCACCATCTTCATCCAAACACACCAAATCACCCTCCACCACTCTTGATCCATAGGTTGCAAGTCTGTAAGATACTGCCTCATTCCAAACTTTGCTGCTATATGCATGAACGTAGAAAATGCGCATAGAATGGGGAAATGAGAACCATGCCTGGATGCAACCCTCCTCGGTCATGCCAAAGCGATGCAATGACTCCAACAATGCTCTCTCTCGAACTTTGAATTCGGGCATCAGTGAAAGTGTGCCTTTAGCATCTTCTGCAATAAAGAGAAAATCAGTTAGTCAACCACTTTTATTGAAAGACCAGTTATGAAGACCCTTATTATGCTCTCTAAATGACAGTCAATCAACTGCTGTCTTTTACACCTGAATATGAAGATGTTCAGTACCAATAATAAAACCTAGCTACACTTGAAGAGGTTTTTTTTTTTTTTAAATAAAAATAATCAATCACATGATCCATTCATTTGCCCTACTTAAAAAAAAAATAACAAGAGCACATTAATAATACCTACTTCAGAATGAAGATAAGCTAACTTACTTCAGAGGACTTCAAGAAAGAGCATTAAATAAACCTCTGAGCCTAGAGATTTTATCCCCACCTGAGGACATTTTTTTTTTTTTTTTTTGCATGTATCTTCAGATAGAGCTGGAGGGAGAAAAGGAAGAAGAGAGAGAGAGAAACATCAATGAAAGAGAGACACATCAAGTGGTTGCCACCCACATGACCCCAACTGGGGCTGGGGACAAACTGCAACTGAGGTAGTGCCCTTAGCTAGAACCAAACCCAGGACTCTCTGGTCTGCAGGCCAATGCTCTAACTGCTGGGCCAAACCAGCCAGGGCTGAGCCTAGAGATTTTAAAAGAGCTATTATGGCCCTGGCCGGGTGGCTCTTTTGGTTGAAGAACACCAAGAGGTTGCGGGTCTGATTCCTGATCAGGGCACATACCTTGGTTATAGGTTCAATCCCTGGTCCGGCATGTATAGGAGGCAACTGATCAATGTTCTTTCTCACATTAATGTTTCTCTCTCTCTCTTTAGGATAAATTATATATGAACTATTATTGGACATTTACACAGAATGTTTTGAATAAGCAAGAGTTGATATCTGGATCCCTCAAGCACACTATTAGGCCTTGCTGGTGGGATGTTTTTTAAAATGAGAGACTCTAAAGATGCTGATTCAGGTAGGGCCTTGGCATCAGCATTTTAATAACTGTATCAGGTTTCTTATAAACATTAAAGTTTAAAAATCACTGCATAAGGGAATTATCTTCTCTCAGGACTCTACAATAGAGACAAACAAATAAGTTACTTTGAATTTTCTTTAGCATTACTTACATTACTCATAACATTTTGAAATGCCTTTATTATTTATAGATTATGGTATGGCATAAAAATATTTCTCTCTTTACAAATAATTACATATATACAATATGTACATAATTACAAATAATGGAGATTTTTAAAAACCGATGTCCTTTATTTCAATGTAAGTGAAATTCGGTATGCACATCTATGTAGATCACATATTTGAATGAATATAAAATGGTATGGTTGCTGTTATTATTTAAATACAAGTAATATATACTCAGTATCTAGTATGTGCCAGCCACTATTTTAAGAGCATTACATCTGTTATCTTATTTAAACCTCATAATAGTATTTTAGGTACCATTATTAGCTTCAATTTACAGACAAAGAAACTAAAACAATGAGGCTAAACAATTGCATAAGCCCGTACAGTTGGGAAGTACTAAAGCTGAGAGTTACACCCATGTACATTGACTCTAGAACCCACACTCATAACTAGTTTTCTTTAGTGTTTCCTATTAAGCATTTTGTATATATAGCATCCTGTTGAACTAGAGTTTTCAAAATCAGCAGTCAGAGCTGAATGGCAACTAGACCAAAAACAACGCACAAAGAATCAGATATAATAAATGTTCTTTTATTTAATTTTTTTTGTCTCTTCTAGTTGTAGTGAATTATACTTCCATCAGTACAAGTTTAGAATTGGGAACTCTTATCTCCTCAGAGGATTTAGATCAAGCAAGATTTAGAACACACAAAAGTCCTTAAGATCGGGTTAAAAATGGAGTATTTAGGGCATATAATAAAATGATTAAATACACTATATTACAATCTACTTATCACATTTATGTTACAATGAATGCCCTCCTGCTGACATAACATTATATTACATATCTGCATGGCTATGTATAGATGGGGTAAAGAAACTTTTAAATACCAGTTTGAAGAAAATATTTCTTTGCTCTATTTACAGGATCATCCAAATCTTCTGGTGTAAGAAATAATTTTACAGCCTTCCCCTTTAAAAATCAAGCAAGCAAATATAGGTTAAATAAAAATCACATATTACTTACTTTTAAAAAATGCATCTAAAAAGAATAAGCATTTAAAAAATTATATTTGAGCCCTGGCCGGTTTGGCTCAGCGGTTAGAGTGTCGGCCTGCGGTCCGGAGAGACCCAGGTTCGGTTGCCGCTAAGGGCACGTACTTCGGTTGCAGTTTGTCCCCGGCCCTGGTTGGTCGTGTGGGTGGCAGCCACTCGATGTGTCCCTTCACGTCGATGTTTCTCTCTCTCTCTCCCTTCCTCTCTCTCCCTCCCGCTCTATCTGTACAAAAAATGGAAAAATATCCTCGGGTGAGGATAAAAAAAAAAAAAAAAATTATATTTGATATTGCAATTTTATCTTTAAGCTTTCAAAAATTAAATACTCAAACTTCTGTAGAAAGCAAACTTATATACAGGTTTAAAATATTATGGACCATAAAAAGTACTCTCCCATACCTTCCATAGTTCTTCTTGTCATTTTTTACCTCTGTCATCGAGGTATGAATAAAAGCGTAAAGTAATGACATAAAACTCAGATTTGACCAACACACACCACACAAATAGGGAAGGAAACAAGCATAAGAGAATGGCAAGCCACTAATTTCATTCATTTTCTCAAGTCTCAGAATTCTTTGGTCTTAAAAATAATTGCCAAAATCTTTTTTAAAATTGCCAACTTTAATATTTTCTTTTAAAACCTAAATAGATGAAAAGATGCTCTTCTAAAAAAATCTACTAGTTCCTGTATTTTATTACTCTGTAATTTATTTCTAAGTATGTGTCCTTGAGTAGCAATACCAACTACAAATTTGCAGATGTGGTCGACTTCATCAGCTCTCAACCTTATTTCCTCATATAGGATAATATTCACATTCACAATGCTTCTCAAAAGTGCTGTTTCTTTCTCTTCCACTCAAGAAAACATATTATAACACAAATGAGTATGATACTAACATATGAATAATCTTGCATTTATACAAGTACATACTTTTTATAGGTTTGTAGGTTTTTGTTATGTGTACTTCATTCAGTGCAAAAATATGTGTATATATACAATATGTAATTATATATATAAAATATTCATCTTAAACATATATATAATTTTAATTGAGCAAATGTGGCCTCTTCTTTGTAACATTAATTTATAGCTTCATTTGAAACTAGTCAGATAATTTTTCAAATCTGTTATTTCCTTTTTAGTCTCTAGCTTTTATATAAGTTGACACCAGATTTCTAAAATTTCAGGGTATAAGTTTCCTCTAAATCTTCTATCCAGTTCATTTCAAATTTGGTGAGTATTGGTCAATTCTCTGTTAAGAAACAATACTGGACATTGCATATAGTTTGCTTTCTTATAATTTGATGTCAAGAATATAGTAGCCGTTCAATGTACATGTTCAGTGATGTAGATTATGGTATATGTATGTGTGTGCACTCACGTGTATATGTACTAGGTTAAGAAAGCAAGGAGCTGGTTTATGAGTAAGTACAACTGAAAAAAAGATCATATTTTTCAAAAAATACATACCATTTCACTCTTCAACAAAGCCAATCCAATTTGATCTGTGTGAACTTTCCTTCCCATCCCAAATCTCTGTGGTCCATAGTAATTCACAAACCCTTTATTCTATAAATAGAAAAAAAATCAAATAATTAAAAGTATATTGTTATGGACTACATACCTGTGTCCCCCCCAAATTCATATATTGAAATTCCACACTCCAATGTGATGGTATGTGAAGATGGGGAATTGGGGAGATAATTAGGTCATAAGGGTAGAACCCTCATGAATAGTATTAGTGTTATTATAAGAAAAGACTATGGCCCTGGCCAGTTTGGCTCAGCGGTTAGAGCATCGGCCCGCAGACCGGAGAGTCCCGAGTTTGATTCCTGCTAAGGGCACGTACCTCGGTTGCAGTTTGTCCCTGGCCCTGGTTGGGTCATGTGGGTGGCAACCACTCGATGTGTCTCTCTCACATGGATGTTTCTCTCTCTCTCTTCCTCTGTCTCTCCCTCCTGCTCTATCTAAACATAAATGCAAAAATGTCCTTGGGTGAGGATAAAAATAAATAAATAAATAAATAGAAAGAAAGAAAGAAAGAAAGAAAGAAAGAAAGAAAGAAAGAAAGAAAGAAAGAAAGAAAGAAAGAAAGAAAAGACTATGGAGTTTGCTTACTCTTCTTTCTACCATGTGACAATACAATGAGAAAACTATGTTGGCACTGTAATTGCAGGCTTCCAGCTTCTAGAACTATAATCAATAATTTTCTGTTGTTTAAAAGTCACTCAGTCCATGGTTCTTTGTTATAGACCTGAACTAAGACAAATAAATACAATTATCGCATCAGAATATATAATCAAATTTTTCTCTTCATATCCATCTTAATAAAAGAATCCTGTAATCAGCAATATATACATGAGGACCCAATGGTCTGAGAAATGCTATACAGTTAAAGAATTAAAAAGGAGAAGAATAAATAATTAAAAGTTAGAAAGTAAAATGAGTAAAAAAGCTTTACAAATGTCAGCATTTCATTCATATTACTGAGGGGTTTTCTGGGATGTGGGACTTTTGGTACTAAAATGAGGAAAGTTCTGGAAAAAATATAATGAATTGATTTCCTAGTATTAGATCTGATATTTGCTCTGAAGCTCTTTCTTATTTTGAGACTCTTCTGCTGCTTGGACGTGCTTGGAATAAAAAACAGATTTAGTTTCAAATCCAGCAAGTCCTGGCTCCTTTATCTATAACAGTTTGTCTTTCAGCTATCTCAGGTCTGAAAGCCTGGGCCAAGACAATGGCATGGTGTCACTTCATCAAGAAGAGAAAATTGTAATTTACTACTGCAACCACTTAAAGACACTGGTCAGTGGTTAAATATATTCCTACAAAAAAAAAAAAAAATACCAGGCCCAGATGGTTTCTTGAAAGATAAAAGAGCATTCCACACTCACTTTATGAGGGGAGTATATATTTATTCATTCAACAATTATTATTGAGCACCAACTCCAGGACTATTCAATAAAAAATGCTAAGACAATTTGTTATTGGCATGGTACAAAAGGCGGGCCCTTACCTCATGCTATTCACAAAAATCAACTGCAGATAAAGTATTCCCTGTATTAAATCTAATACTTAATATTTTTTTATTATTTCAAATTAAAAAAAAAAAAAACATTAGATAATATCCTAGAATAGGCAGAAGACTGTTATCCACCCCTTCTAATTACTTAGGGTTGGAAATAGCAAGGTTTATAGCAATCAGATACATAACCTTCTAAAACAAAACTTCAAAGACTCTTATTTTCAGGGCTTCTCTACGCCCTTCTCTTATCAATGAGAACTAAAAGAAAGTTGGCTAATGCTAGGATTATTCCGAATGAAGATTTTATAATGAGCAGTGTATATTCACAAGTACCAAATGAGACAGGCAATAAATGCTATCAGAGATCAGAGAAACCCCCTCTTTCGGTGTTCTGAGCACCCAATTTCAATGTGGAGAGGGAGTTCCCACACCAACAAGCAATTCTCTGACAAAAGCTGGGTGTCCTACCATTCAACTCAATCCTGACATTATCTACCCAGAGATAGATTCTACAGGTTAAGCGTTGAGTTTACGAGATTGCCTCACTCCCCACCACCTGCAGATGCCGGTCAGTCACAAACCCAGGCTGCCCATATGCTTCTGATAGACTGAAGGTTATAATAAACACTCCTTGGACTTCAGACACCAGCCCTTAGTGCAGATTGTTACCTGTACTTCCAACCAACTGGCTTTATATTAGAGGGTCCCAAGACACCTACCTCAGGTTCAAATAATTTTCTAGAGAGACTTGAAGACCTCAGAGAAACATTTCACTTACCAGATCACCGATTTATTAACTCGGAGTTATGTAACTCAGGAGCAGCCAGATGGAAGAGATGCATAGAACAGAGTATGTGGAAAGGGGTGCGGAGTTGCTATGCCCTCTCCAGGTACACCAATATCCCGGCATCACTAACCCAGAAACTCTCCCAATGAACCCTCCTTTTGAGTTTTTATGCAGGATTCATTACAGAGGCATGATTGATTAAATCATTGGCCGCTGGCAATTGATTCCAACTTCGGCCCCTCCCCGCTACTGCTCCCACTTCAGGGGTGGTTCTAAAAGTTACAACCCTGTAATCACAAGGTTGGCTCCATTGGAAGCCAACCCCTATCCTCAGGGGCATTAAAAATGTCACCTTATTAACAAAACAAATACAACACTATCACTCTGAACACAGGAAATTCCAAGGGATTTGGGAGCTGTGAACCAGTAACTGTAGATGAAGATCAAAAATATATATGAAAATATACTTTGGTCATATGAATGACCAAATATATATTTCTTATAAATCACAATATAGCAACTCCTTCCTTTTGTAAGAAATATTAATTTAAAAGCAGTTTTTCAGGCGAAAAAAAATTTTAGGCAGGTCTAAAAAGAAAGGAAAAAACTGTCAGGATAGATAGTTGATAGGGCAGAGGGGAAGGAGGAAAAAAAGGGGGCCTTTATCTCACCCAGTGAACAAAGAAGTCAGCAGTCTTGGAACTTGCCAAGATAAAATTGCCAGATTGTCTCATAAACTATGGGAAAGGCCACATCAATGTAAGAGGGAAATCTAGTCTGTTGCCCAAGATATCTGGCAGAGAAACCTTGAAACCAATGGGGGGAGGGGGGAGTATAAAACCCTTGAATCACCACCATCAGGCACAGTGCTCAGATTAGCTGAGTTGCCCATTTGTGTTTTATGTCAAGTGTATTCTTAATAAATGTGCTTGCATTGCTTCCTTAATAAATTTGCTTGTTTTGTTTCACCACTGCTTTCTGTCACTCATCCGAATTCTTTCTTGAGAGAGTGACAAGAGCTGAGGAGTCCCCTCCAACTCAAGTGGTTCTCAGGTAATAAAACTATACATAGAGTATACAATCAGGGAACTCCTACATACAGGTGAATGTGTTGGATTTAACTGGAAGATAGTTTCTTGACTATAAGGCATAATATTGATTATAAAACAGTTTTTGTTTATTTTCCAGGAGAGGAGACATAAAATTGTATAAAAAGGTCTTTGTAGTCAGAAACGTCAATTAGTGTTTCTCAATATTAGCTACAGAGTAAAATAAGTTGGGAATTAAAAAAAATACCAATGCCTGCCCTGACCGGTTTTGCTCAGTGGTTAGAATGTTGGCCCACGGACCAAAGATTCATGGGTTCGATTCCAGTCAAGGGCATGCACCTCGGTTGCAGTTTGTCCCTGGCCCTGGTCGGGGTTGTGTAGGAGGCAACCAATCAGTGTGCCTCTCTCACATAGATGTTTCTCTCCCTCCCCCTCCCCACACCCCCCACTCTGAAGATAAATAGAAAAATGTCCTTAGGTGAGGATTGAAAAAAAAAAATAGTAATGCCTAAACTGCATCCCCAAGGGTTCTTAATTCATTGGTTTGGGAGTAGATTGACTGCTGAGAATTTTTAAAGCTCCAATGGTTGAGAAGTTGGCAAACTGTTGACAACAGGTCAAATCTGGACCAACACCTGTTTTTGTAAATAAAGTTTTATTGGAACATGGTCATGTTCATTTATTTATGTATTATCTATGGCTGCTTCCACACAATAGCAATAGAGTAGTTGCAACAGAGGCCATGTACTTACAAAGCCAAAAATATGTATTACTGGCCCTTTATAGAAAAATATTTGCTGACCCATTGTCTAGATGATCAGACCGAAGGCTATGGTTATATATGGTTATATATATATGGTTATATATTTAAATGCCTGGCAAATGTCATTGAAAAATATGTGTTAAGAATTTTTTTTACTGTAACACAAAATACAGTGTATATGATTTGTCATTTGTATACATTGAAACTAAATTCAAAATTAGATTGAAAAGAAAAAAGATTGTGTATAATTCTAAAAAGTAATTTTCCATGATTTCTGGAAAGAATTACTGAACAAAGTTTCAAAAAAATTAATCCCTTTCCCTAAAAATATTACTCTATATGGTAGATGCTAAAAAACATTCTTCTTATACAGATAGCTTTATTTTTCCACCATCTCTGGGGTATTCTATACATACTATTTTTAGTTACATTAAGTTGTTTATTTTTTTTCAATACAAAAATGTACTATGAAGAAATTGTAAAGATAAGCCAAATAGCCCTAGTTACCATTTAAAAAAATAATTATACAGGCCTTGGCCAGGTAGCTCAGTTGGTTAGCACATTGTCCCAAAACACCAAGGTTGCAGGTTCAATCTTTGGTCAGGACACATACAAGAAGCAACCAGTGAATGCATAAATAAGTGGAACAACAAATCAATCTCTCTCCTCTCTCCCTTTCGCTCTCTCGCTCTCTCTCTCTTCCTTCCTCTCTCTCTTTCTCTAAAATCAATAAAAAAAGTTATACATAAACTATATATGCAAATAAAAAGGAAAACGTTTCCCTTCTTACTTCAATGTAAATAGAGGGACTATAAAGATTTTCCTATAATACTCTTTTAAAATTGAGTTTTCTTACCTTAACATTTTCTATTGCCTCCAAAATTCTCTCTCTCAGATTTGCAGAATCATTTATTTGGTTTTTTAAATTTCTGATAACAATATCAAAGTGATTTCCTTTGAGCTGACCGAGTCTAAGGGAATCATTTACAGACCGAATATTAAACACATTCATTCTTTTCTTTTCAATTTCTTTTTCAATATCTTTCAACCTATAAATGATAAATCATATAGACTCAGTTAAATCTTGCATTTCAAAAAGTATTATTTTAAATGCTAGTTGCCAGGTAACCACTTACATATATCACAACACTAAAACAAATTTTTTTTAATCTTCCAAAGTTAATGTTATTTCAACAAATGTGCACTAAAACCCCATTATTATAGAATTATATTAACCAGCTATTTTAAGAAATGGGACATATATTCCTAATGTTATCACTCAATCTATGTAGGCTTTTTGACTTCTTCTTAGTTCAAGTGATACAGTTTCTTAACTGTTCTTTTGATCTTTTGAACTTTTGTTCCTTTCTTCCTCAGTCTCTCTTCCCCCAATATTACCAAGAAAAACTACTAGCACTAGAGGATTTTCCCAAAATTGTGCTTTGAACAACTAGTTACTCACTCTTTCAATTCTACCCCAACATCTAAAGAATAGATTACAACTATTTTAGCACAACTTTTAAGATCCTGTAAGAACTGATGCAAATTGTTCTTTATATTCATATTTTCTATAGTCCTTATAGTAACTATCTATTTTATTAGACAGACTGTCTGACTTACTGCCCTTTCAAATATAGCTTCAGATTTTCTGCATTGGCTAAAACCTTACTATTACTTGACAGGTAATTAAAATCCCACACCCATAAGCCAAATCAAAGAACTCTCTCCTAGGAATCAATAAAATTTGTCTTTGGTAGTTAAAAACTAGCTTTTAACATCCAAAGTCTTTTTCTCTTACCTATATTGCACTTTTGACATAAAGACAAAATCATATATATATATATATTTTGGTCCCTCATATTAGAACTTAGAAGTTTACCTGTAAATAGTGCATCCTGCAACATCTTATGACTAAGGGTTAACATGTCGATATTACATTACATTAGGCTCCATTTTGGCCCAATCATTTAACTTTTCTAAAAGTATCTACAAGGCACAGATTTAAGTATAATAGTATTAATCACAGTATTATTTACAGTGAAATACTGAAACCAATGTCTATATACAAAACTAAGGAAACATTAAATTATAGATTAAATAACAGAAATAATTTTGAAATATTTCATGATATAAATTTTCTTGGGAGAATTATAAAAAAATATAAATTGCATATACAATATGATTTTCACATATATAAAAAAGTCTTTGTACAACGTGTGTATGTAGTATAGTCTCTGAAAAATGTATGGAAGGAAATAGAATGTTATGGTGGCCCTGGGTGGTGCGACTCAGTTGGTTAAGCAACGTCCTATGCACCAAAATGTTGCCAGTTTGATTCCCAGTCAGGGCACATGCCCAGGTTGCAGTTTCCATCCCTGGTCAGGGTTCATACAGGAGGCAACTGATCTATGTTTCTCTCTTTCTCCCTTTCTCTTCCTCTCTCTCTAAAAATTAATAAAAACATATTTTTAAAAATGTTATTGTGGTTCTTTCTGAGTAGTGCAATTATTAATGACTTTTAATTTCTTTTTTACACAGTAATTGTTTTTATTTTCTAAATCTACAGTGAACATGTACTTCTACTTTTAATAACCAATTGAGCTAAAGGGAAGTTATATTTGACTACTTTACTTTCTATTTAATAATGATTTATTTTAAATATAAGGAGGCACAATAAAAGTGTAAATGTATTATAGTAATTAGAAAAAAAGAATTGTAAGACACTACCCTAAATATAAATATATTTGAATATAGAATAGGATGTTTAGAAACAATGTTGATCATTTAAAATTGGCCACTTCTCAAGTTTCTATGCTAAAACTACCTACTATTTGCAATGTAAGTTTAAAACATAAGTATACAAAAGATAGTTATATTATCATTGCAGAATTTGTTCAATAAGCCTGTACTCATTAAATTAATATTAATGAGGATAATATGCTCCTAGTAGTATTTAGAGTTTAATCTTACATTTACTTATTTGATGCAATAAGAAAGGAAAAATTTCTTTAATCAAGTAATGTCTTATTACCTCTCCGGAGTCACTTTTCTAACAACCATTGATTGATAGGTGATGGCTTTCTTGTCTTTAAGGCCTGCATAACTAAAATCTGAAGGAATCACACCAAGTTTGACAGCTAAAACACCAACTGCTTCAAACATTTCTAGATTTTCTTTTCGTAGGGTAAAGGCTGAAAAAAAAAAAAAAATTCTACATTACAAATAAAGCGCCTACCATACATCAAGTACATTCTTAGCAGTCTAACAGATTAATATAACAAATCAAATTTTTAATTTAAAAATCTGCAATGCAACATAGTATATTTTCAATGTTTCTGTTTTTACAAGAAAAAATGGGTTTATATTTTTATTTAAATATTTAAAAATTGTTAATGTGTAAAACTATAACTTCTGAAGAATATTCAAACACTGTCCATTATTTTGTAATTATTATTATTTTTTTTATCCTCACCCAAGGACATTTTTCCATTTTTTGTTCAGATAGAGTGGGAAGAAGAGAGAGACAGAAACATCGATGTGAAAGGGACACATTGAATGGCTGCCACCCACATGACCAACCAGGGCCGGAGACAAACTGCAACCAAGGTACATGCCCTTAGCAGGAACCAAACCCGGGTTTCTCTGTACCGCGGGCCAACGCTCCAACCGACGCTCCAACCGCTGAGCCAAACCGGCCAGGGCAGTATTTCGTAATTTTTTTTACCTCTAGGGTCATTTTTTTTTTTGTACTATTATAACAGCTTTCTAGAAATCTCCAAATTTTCTGTTACAGCAGTGATAAATTAAATGTAGTATGACTCCTGTTCTTACAGAGCTGATGAAAGAAGTAGAGGAAAGGAGAGAAACATATAAGTTAATTCTGCGTGCTACATACACTTTCAGGGTATCTTGACCAAATGAATGTGAATATAAACCTCTGATTTCAAGGTAGCTGTTTATATCAGTTGTCTCAAAATAAAATTAAAAGCCCACATTTAAAATGTAGGGATTATAACCTCAAAATAGTTCAGCTATTGTCATGATAGGACTAATTATAGTTTAAATAAAATGACCTGGGAAGATATGCTAGGCTAAAGATACAATGGCCAATAAAACAAAATGACCCTTGCTTTGGGAGCATTCAGTCCTGGGAGTATGAAGAGAATTTGAGAAAGAAGCGTGGCTGCTGTGGGGGCTTGAAAAATGAATAGAAGTATGGCAAACAGTCAAAGCAATAGAACGATCAAAATATCAAATATTTTAATATCTGTATGATTTCTGTGACCTATCATTTCAGGGAGTCCATAATGTTCTCCCTTTTTCAACTACATGCTTATGTAAATCTGAATTTTGTTTATTTGCTTCAATCAAAACAAAAAAATTACACCAGAAAAAGAAATGATAGTTCTAGTGGACTTCTTTTATGTCAGATAATAGAAATATTTATAGACCTGTAAAATTAATACAATCCTTCTCACTAATTTTTAATAGAAAAATATGGTCATTTTTCATTAAAAATATTATCACATTACTAGTAACATATTTATCTTACAATTCATATTTTTAATATTTCTATTTTAATTGCTAATAGATCAAATATCAATGGATAATAACCATATAAACAAAAGCTGGTTGAGTTCATAATGGTTTAAAAGAGCTATACTCTCCAAGGATTCTGGAAACAAAATGTTTGAAAACCAATTAGGAATAATGTAAAAAAATATAATACCTCAAGTATACCAAATCTATGGAACCAGACAGAATTCATTAAAATAATCTTAAGAGTTTAAAAGAAATGCAAAATTCTATCAAGTATTACATCAGCCTGTCTAGAAGTTGCAAACTTCGAAAAGTAGACTAGGGAAGTATAATATATAAAGGAAGAAGGGTAGGAAATCAATCCTTGAAGTTCTAAAGTTCATGTGTTTGAAAGTAGGGTTCAATGTGTTGAATCTGACCCTGACAATCTGGGCACATCACTCAGTGGTTATCAGGCAAACTCAGCCATATAAGAAGAAACTTTCAAATTGTTTGAGATTGTATCCATTTGTTGCTGATTAACTTCAGTACATAAGCATTTTTTAGCCACGAAGATTTAGAATTTAGAATAGAAATATTTAATAGAATCAAATCCATGATTTTAGTATTTGTGTTAATGTCTTATATACCCGCAATGTTTAAAAGAATGAGACTTAAGTAATTCCAATTAAAAACATCTAATTGGTTTAAATTTGTCTTTTTACAACGACATCTCATTAAATTAATAAACAATATGGAAACATAGAACAACTTAAAGGTCACTAAATTTATAAGTTTAACTTATAAGATTTATAACACTTAATTATTTGAAAAAAGAATTGAAGATTTAAAAAGAAAATCAAGTAGGCTAAATTAAAATTTCAATTTTAGACCTCCACTTCTAGCTATGTTGGAATCATTGGTACCAAACTTGACCCCCAACTGTAAATGAACAGAAAACTAGACAAAGCATATGAAACACCTGTTTTTAGACACTAGAGAACAGGTAACGCAGAACTGTGATCCAAAGAAAAGGGAAACAGATGATACCCTGGTTTTCTATTTAGAGGTACTTTCTGGACCATAGCATGGGGAGAAGGAATCCAGCTGGAGCAGTATGGTCTTGCTGAATTACAAACATAGAAGATGAAATTCAGGAAGACTGAGTGGGCCGGAATTCCTAGGCCAGAGTACCAGATAAGAGGAAGCCATGCAAAGAAAGAGTTCCAGAAATCCACATAGCTGATCCCTTGAATTTGTTGCTGATTAATATTTCTGAGGGTCAGGAATCAAGAGGATCTTGGTTCTAGCCCGACTCTCTCAGGAGGCTGTAGTTAGATGTGCCTGGGGCTACAGTTATTCAAAAACCTAACAGGACCTGGAGGATCCATTTCTAAGGGGACTCACTCACAGGACTGACAAGTTGATGGGAGGTAGCTGTTGAGGGGAGGCTTCAGTTCCTCTCCAAAGAGCTGTGTGAGTACTCTCACATTATGGTAGCTGGCTTATCCCAGAACAAGCAATACAAAAAACAAGGGCAAAAAGTACAATACTTTTTATGATCTAGCCTTAGTAGTCACACACCATCACTTCTGTCATATTCTGTTGGTCACACAGGCCACTCTGTATGAACACCAGATCATTGAGAGTCTTCTTGGATCTTGAGAACCACAATCTATTTTCTGGTTCTAACACTTTATGGCCCACCCCCATTCAAAATATACTCATTCCTTCCCAAGGCTCCAAAGACTCATTGCGCTAAAAAAACATCAATGCAAATCCTAGCACTTTTTCATCTAAGTTAGGTCCAGATGTAAATGAGGCTCCATGAGTACATCTTGTACTAGAATCCTCAAATATAATTTCTCTTAATATGAAGACTATGAAGGACTGTGACATGAGACAAATCTGCTTTGAAACACACTGAACAAGTACTACAGTCTCTGTTCAAATGGGAAAAACTGGAAATACCTAGAAGTTACTGGTATGCAGCAATTTTAAATTTAGCCAGGTATATGTTGATTATTCCTTTATTAGAATTCAGTCCTACCAATATCTGGAAATGATTGCTCTAGGTCTTAGTTGTGCCCTCTGAGGAAACCTTCTGTTTCCATAAAAGAGCCTGTTTACAGCAGAGTAGTTTTCCCAGCCTAATTCCTGCCTTTAAAGATTAAAACATCCAAAGTTTTCTCTTTATTTTATACTATCTTTGACCCTTTCAAAACTGGGTAGGTCTTCTTTGGGTTCACTCTATTAGCCCAAAATACACTCATATTTTGTCAAGAAAGGATCTTTTCTACAATAGGGCTTCTGCTAAAGCTGCTGAGGGAAAACGTCCCTAAATTCCTAGAATTACTGTTTAACCCAGGGAATCCATGAGACATGCCCTTAAAGTCCCTACAGGGGACTTTAGTGACATAAAAATCCAAAAACCATTTATTATCTGTTATGGACTAAATATCTATACTCCTTGCCCCAAATTCATATGATAAAGTGCTAACCCCAGTGTATTTGGAGATGGGGCCTCTACGGAAGTAATTAAGGTTAAATGAAGTCACAAGAGGGGCCCTGATTCAATAGGATTAGTGTCCTTATAAACCACCAGAGAGCTTTCTCTTAAGCTCTCTCTCCGTGTACACACAAAGAAGCGCTCATGTGAGCCTCCAGAGATAAGGTGACTACCTGAAACCCAAGGGGATAGCTCTTACCAGACATCAACACTGCTAGAATCTTAATCTTGGACTTCCAGTCTCCAGAACAATGAGAAAATAAATTTCTGTTGTTTAAGTCACCCCGTCATCTATGGCATTTTGTTATGGCAGCCTGAGCAGATTAATGCACTATCCTGCAGTTTCTGTGGGTCACATATTCAGAAGTTGGTCAGTTCTGGCTTGGGGTCTACTGTGAAATTGAAACATCAGCTGAATCTGAAGGAGCTGCTTCAAGTTGCTTCACTCACATAGGTGGTAAATTAATGTTGACTACTGGTGGGGCCTCAGTTTCTCTCCACAGGGATTCTTGAGCATTTTCAAGGTATGATGGTTTGCTTCTGTCAGAGTAATATGAAATGCCTTTTACAATCTAGCCACAAAAGTTACTCACTGTCATTTCTTCTGTATTCTATTGGTCAAACAGGCTGGCCCAGATTCAGTGTAGGTGGAGAATACAGAAGGGCATAAATACCAGTAATAAAAGACCACTGGGGGCCATGTAGATGCTGACTACCACACTCCACCAAGTTGGACAATGAAGTACCACATATGTGTAACCTGCCAGAGATTACACAAAGTGGGAGCCAGGCCAGAGAGAAATCTAATCGAAAAGCAAGGGCAGTCAGACCCGGCCGATGTGGCTCAGTGGACTGAGTGTCATTCCATGGACTGAGAGGTCCTGGTTTGATTCTGGGTCAGGGAACATGCCCAGGTTGCTGGCTCAGACCCCAATGGGGGGCGTGCAGGAGGCCGTCGATGGATGTATCTCTCTCATATTAATGTTTCTATCTCTCTTTCTCTTCCCCTCTCTCTAAAAATATCAACTATTATATATATATAAAGCAAGGGCATTTAGTAGAAACCACAAAAGGATCATGCTATAATAGTAGAGCTATATGATACGCTTACTTTCCTAATCCTGTGACCCTTTAATACAGTTCCTCATGTTGTGGTGACCCCTCAACCATAAAATTATTTTTGTTGCTACTTTATAACTGTAATTTTGCTACTATTATGTCTTAGGTGACCCCTGTGAAAGGATCGTTCGACCCCCAAAGGGGTCGCAAACCACAGGTTGAGAACTGCTAGCTTAGAGGAAAGCTTACTCTATACCTCCTTTAATAAAACTCAAAATGAATCCTCAAATGCATCTGCAAATTACTTCCTACCTGCTAAAGCAAAGTCCAACACTCTTTAAAAGAAGACAACAAATCCAGATACTCAACAAGGTAACACTCACAATGTTTGACCTCAAAAAAATATTACTAGACATGCAAAGAAGCAGAAAAATATGACCCATACCCAAATAAATCAGTCAATAAAAATATACCCAGAAATGACAGATGTAATTAGCCGACAAATATTTTTAAAGGCCTATTAGAAATAGGCTCGAAGATTATAGGAAAGCATGAATATATAAGAAATCAAAGACCTAAGGGGAAAAAAAAGAAACTTCCAGAGCTGAGAAATACAGTATATAAATGAAAATTGCATTGGATGCTTTGGATGCTTAAATCTTTCATAAAATTCCTTCTTCAAAAACGTATTTTAGGAAAAAGCATGGCACTGCCTTAAAAAATTAAACATAGAATTATCATTTGATTCAGCAATTCCACTTCTGGGTATATACCAAAAACAGCCTGAAAAGAGGGCCGTATATAAACATATATGTTTATATTTATAGCAGCTAAAAGATAGAAACAACCAATGTCCATCAGCAGCTGAATAGATACATAAAATAGGGTATTTATATACAGTGAAAGATTATTCAGCCTTAAAAAGAAAAAAAATTCTAACACATGTCTAACATGGATGAACCTTGAGGACCTTAACCTAAGTGAAATAAGCCAATCACAAAAGGACAAATATTGTTCCCGGGTTCGGTTCCCGCTAGGGGCACGTACCTCGGTTGCAGTTTGTCCCCGGCCCTGGTTGGGTCGTGTGGGTGGCAGCCACTCGATGTGTCCCTTTCACATCGATGTTTCTCTCTCTCTCTCTTCCTCTCTCTCCCTGCTGCTCTATTTGAATAAAAAATAGAAAAATATCCTTGGGTGAGGATAAAAAAAAAAGGACAAATATTGTATAATTCCACTTACATGAGATATCTAAAGTATTCAAATTCATAGAGACAGAAAGCAGAATGAAGGTTGCCAGAGGCTGGGGGAAGAAGTAATGGAGAGTTGTTGTTTAACAGGAACAGTTTCAGTTCAAAGAATGAAAAAGTTCTGAAGATGGATGGTAGTGAATGCACTTAATGCCCTTGAACTATACACTAAAATTAGTTAAAATGGAAAATTATGCTATATATATTTTACAATGAAAAAAACAGAATTTTTTTTTTGCCCTGTGTGCGGTTGGGGGTTTGGAAGATGGACCTTTTGTAACCTTGTGTTAAGCACTCTCAACCTTGTGTTAATGCATTCTCGGAATTCTGGCCGGGGGTGGGGGGTTGGGAGGAATGAAACTTGGCCCACACAGGTGTATTGGGTGCTTCATTTGCATGTGAATAATAAGGGTTTGTTATCTTTTGGCTTCAAGGTCTCTTCCTGTAAAAAGCAAGAGACAAAGCCAGGGTGTATGGTTTGCAGTAATGCCATCTCAAGGAAATAATTTACATAAATACACTTATAACCTGGGGGTACCAATCTGCAAATAAATGAGACTGCATCCAGAGATCTGAAACATTTGCTCTCTTGCAAAGCTCCCTCTCACTCCAAGCAGCGTGTACTTGTAGTTTCATTGTGTTGCACTGATCCCAGCAGGCTGAGAGATGGCAACCCTGGCCAGTGTGACTCAGTGCTTAGAGCATCAGCCAGTGCACCAAAGGGTCTTGGGTTTGATTCCAGTCAAGGGCACATACCTGGATTGCAGGTTGGATCCCTGGCCCCAGTTAGGGCAGGTGCAGGAGACAACCAGTTGATGTGTTTCTCTCACACTGATATTTCCATTTCTCTTTCTCTCTCTCTCTCTCTCTCTCTCTATCTCTCTCTCTCCCCCCCCTCCCACCCACCTTCCACTCTCTCTAAAAATCGATGGAAAAAATAGTCTCGGGTGAGAATTAACAAATACATACATACATAAATAAAATTTTAAAGTGTTCTATTTTTTTGATAGGTCTACTTATTAAAAAATTTTTTAAAATATGATCTAGTTTTGTTGTTACAAAAGGTTGGCCTAAGCAAAATTTTAGATTAGGCAAAGTTTATCTATGTCTTTTTCTTTGTTCTTGGACTTCTAGGTATGCTGGTATCTTTTTACTATCCTCTAGTTAACCATCCATTCCTCCCTTAAACATATCCCTCTAGTTATTCATAGTTTTTATAAAACTAATGTAAACTAATATGTAAAAAGTTTCCACAATTTTTTTGATTAACTCAAATTAATACTTTTAGAATTTCAAATAGTAAAAATCTATAGATGCTTAAATAACTATCAGCAATTCATTCCCCTACATGTAAAGCTAGTTTTGTTGTCCTTATAAATATACTTATCTGTTAACATTTACTGCATGCCTCATGTGTCAAGTCCTATATACTAGCAACTTTCTCATGGAAACAACAAGTCACACAACCAGCCAGAAATTTTCAGGAGAGAAGATGCCAACATTTGGGTAACTATTATGTACTAAACATTTTCATTAATTATTTCCTCTAATCCTAGAATATCATTGTGAATTATAATTTACTATTATCCCATTTTTAAAGTACAACCAAAAGTTAGGAATTGTTGCCCTCGCCGGTTTGGCTCAGCGGTTAGAGCGTCGGCCTGCGGTCCAGAGAGACCCGGGTTCGGTTCCCGCTAAGGGCACGTACTTCGGTTGCAGTTTGTCCCCGGCCCTGGTTGGTCGTGCGGGTGGCAGCCACTCGATGTGTCCCTTCACGTCGATGTTTCTCTCTCTCTCTCTTCCTCTCTCTCCCTCCTGCTCTATCTGAACAAAAAATGGAAAAATGTCCTTGGGTGAGGATTAAAAAAAAAAAAAAAGTTAGGAATTGTTAAGTAACTTACCCATGGTGTTAGTCTCTCTAGTTTTACATTTGTAGAAACTAAGCCTTAAAGATATTATAAAGGTCATAAATCTTTTTATGAACTAAAGTCATAATGTGAAATAAAACCCACACAGTTCCAAGGTCCAAACACTTTTCATTTACACCACAGAGTCCCTACAAAGCACAATCTTGTTTTTGTGCCACACACATCTGGGCAAATTTGGGTTACTTTTATATTAAATGATTTGCTATACAAATTTATAAAACATGGCCATCTGAAACATTTTCCATGCCTCATGGAGAATATAGGCCAACTAAACGTGGTCAGCCAAACTTGTAGAGTGAGATTTCATCAGTACCATCCCATCCTAGGAACTGAGAATAGCAATTCTCAAAATGTGGTCCCCAGACCAGCAGAAAAAGCACCTCCTGAGAAATTGCGAAAGCCATAGGCCACATCTAAATCAGAAATTCTGAGAAAAGGTTTCAGAAATCTGTCTTAAGAAGCTCTTTTGGTAATTATAACGCATGATAACATTTGAGAACATCTTCTCTAAAGCCCTAGCCGGTTTGGCTCTGTGGTAGAGCACTGGCACTCAGACCAATGAGTTGCGGGTTCGATTCCGGTCAAGGGCATGTACCTTGGTTGCAGTTTGTCCCAGGTCCTGGTCAGGGTCGTACCGGAAGCAACCAGTTGATGTGTCCCTCTCACGCTGATATTTCTCTCTCTCCCCCTACCTCCAATCCATTCTATCTGAAGATAAATGGAAAGATATCCTCAGGTGAGGATTAAAAAATATAAAAATAAATGACTTACTTCTAATGAATCTTATTAAACACAAAATTAACTGTTTCAACTTTACATATTTGTGACTGTTAAGTATAAATGTCTATGTTAACCACACTGTCATCAACAGGATTAATTTCTACAATTAGTGTAATTTGAGTCTTTATCATCCATTCAAAAATAGACCCATATATTTTTTCCAATATCCTTTTTTGGACAAGTCTATTCAAGCATTTGAATTATTTAGCTTTCACTGTTTTTTTTTCACTGAGTTACAATTTTAACTAAGTTTATCAAAGAAAATGGGAATGACTTATTAAATTACCTGTGTATATAACTTTTCTTTCCTGGCATTCAACAGACCTTTTCCTGTGCTTGTATGCTTTTTCACGAAATCTTACTGTTATCACTATATTGGGATTACCGACATTGTATTTAGCTTCAGAAAAAGATTTGGTTTCCACAAGATTTCCAAACTTTTTGTTGATAAAATGGTGAACAGCTTTTCTGTGGTCTTTGTTTGTATCAGGTTTAAAGGTAAATTTAGAATTTTCTTTCTTTGCATCCAAGTACTTAAAAAAGTCAAATGCTTCTTCTTCAGATACCAGGTGACAGAGTTCTTTGTACTCAAGATTTGGTTTTACAACAATTTCACTGTTTTTTCCTACAGTTATTAAAAAAGGAAATTTCTGCCGAACAGCACTGTGCAAAATAGCCCTCTGGTTTTTGTCAAGAATTCTGCCTAGTGAGAATTCAGGAGATGGTCCAGTTAGCTCACTTTTAAAATTCCATTTCTTTTTTATATTACAGGCAAACTGATTCAGTAATTCATTAGTTTTTTCATCTAACAAAGAGCCTAATGCATAAACTTTTCCTTTTTCATCTCCAGAAGTTCCATCATTGATTGTATCTTCTTTTTCTGAACCAGACTCATGATTTTTGTCATCATCAGAGCATGGGACTAAAGTATTGACTTTTTGGTTGCTTCTCTCTTCAAAGGATACATTTTGAAAACCTAGTTTTGGTTTTTTGGCAAAATTATTTGTCTCAGGCAGTACTTTACCAATCTCGTAAATAGGTTCATCAATGGCCTTATTAACTAACTGTCCCTGTTCATCAATCTCAATAACAACAAAGTCACTTGGTGAGCTTTTTATAGTGCCATGAAATCCAATATGATCAGTAATGAAACACAAAGAACTAAACCTTATTCTAAAATCTGTATCTTCTTCCATTCTTAAATAGCAATGTCTACAAAAGAAACAAAAAGGCAATGTTAGTTACCAGAAAGAAAAGTTGTGAATAACGAAAGTATAAATGTTTGCAAGATTTATTTAATTTTCCTTCTCCCTTTCAGTCCACCAGAGCAAGAACCGTTTCTGCCTTATTCACCGATTATCTCATGTTTAGACTGTCAAGCACATAATAGGCAAGCAATTAATAGTGACTGTTGAATAAATGAAACAACTAGTACAAAATAAGAGTTATAAGAATGAAGAGGAAGAAATAAGAGATCACTTCTGCCTGTGATAAATCAGTAAAGGCATAATGCAAGAAGCGGCCATCTAAGTCCTCAAAATTGTCCAAGCAATAGAAATGAAGCCAAGCCCTGGGCGGTTTGGCTCAGCAGTTAGAGCGGCGGCCTGCAGTTCAAAGGACCTGAGTTTGGTTCCCACTAAGGGCGCGTGCCTCGGTTGCAGTTTGTCCCCGGTCCTGGTTGGTCATGTGGGTGGCAGCCACTCGATGTGTTCCTTTCACACCGATGTTTCTCTCCCTCTCCCTCCTACTCTATCTATCAGAAAATGGAAAAATGTCCTCGGGTGAGGGGAAAATAAAAAAGAAATGAACCCAAGCCAACGTACAAACAAAATATGTGATGTGTTAGAGAAAACTGAACAGCCCAGATAACAGAGCTGCAAGAGAAAATGCTTCCTAGTACAGTTCTGGAAAATATAGCTGGATTAGTGACAAACTATGTAAGGCATGTGATACCCTGTCAAGGATTTAGAATCCACCGAGTGGTCAATGAGTGGCCACTGGAGGTGTTTGGGTAGGAAATGACACAATCCCAAAAGATGTTTTAGTAAGATAACTGATGGCACTGAGCAAGGTAACTGATGAAGAGGAGTTGGAAAACAATGTAATCAGAGCACAGTTGTAGGCCTGGCTTTGAAAAGAATAATAATAATAACTCACCCTTTCCCCAGTAAAAGGAAGAAGACATTCTAAGCTAGAACGATGTTTCTAAGAGGGAATTACAACCAAGCATCTTCGTGGAATAGTGGCTCCAAGATGGAGAGTGGCGGGGCCCACGTGCAGTGTTGCTCAGCAACAGATTTGCTGATGAGGGTGCGGGGTGGGGAGGGCGAGAGTCACCTGACACAAGGTAGGGGAATTGCTGGTTGAAGATGTTAGAAATGGAGGAAGGTGGCGCCTTTCCCCTCATGCTCTTACTTCATTCATCTCCAAAGCTCGGCGGAGCTACTCCTTCCTACCCTGTCAGCAAGCCACAGAAACAAAGTCTGCGGCGGCGTGGCCTCCGGGGTGTCCCAATGTACCCCCGACCCGCCAGCACCTCCACTTGCTTCTCCCTCCCCGACCCCTGCCTGTCCCAAGGCGCAGGATTAGCCCACGTCACCTCCTCTTGAAGGTAAAGAGTCTGGGCCCCAATGCTAACCATCTCTTCGCCCCAACCCAGCCCGGGATCGCGCAAGACGCTAAACCCGGTCTACCTGACGTCCAGGTGAAAGCATCCCCCGAACAACGCTGTGCGCGTGCCGCAAGGCAGACTGTTTAGCTTCCGACTGAGGCGTATTTAAAGGGCCAGGCGCCCATTTGCAGTAGCGCCTCACGCGAGACCTGGAATTTCTCAGTGTGAAGCCGCCTGAAGGCTCTAAAAGGAAGGGCGGGGCGGGGCGGGCTTGAGGGCGGGGCGCCTTTAGGCTCCGCCCCGCCCCGCCTTCGAGCCCGCCCCGCCCCATTGCCCTGTTCCTCAGCTGCTGGCTAAGCACGGCAAGGTCCGGTCCGGCCCGGGTCCTGGTGCTTGGGCAGGTAAGGGGTTCCGACTGTGTGCGCCTTCTTCCCCTCCGGCTGTCGGAGGTCCGCGCCCCGGCCGCCGTCCCTCTGCCCAAGGGTTGTTGAGGGACCGTTTCGGAAGGAAAATCGCCTTATCTTCCAAGTGAGAAAAGTTAGAGAGGAAGTAGGTTGCGTGGGCAGAGCTGGCTGCAGAGTGAACCCTTGGGTAGACCCCTGGATCAGAAAGCGAGGCGGACCTGAGGAGGAACCTGGGCGTAGAAAGGCGTCACCCAGCCATTCCGTGGCCGAGCTGGACCCGGTTCCCGGCCCGCGGCTTCCCCGCGGTGTGTTCCGAGAACCCGTTTACGCAATCCTGCCTGAGAACCAGGAAGTAAGGCCAGCACCGGCAGAGATGCCCGGGACGTGGGAAGAGCTGCGCATCCCCAAGATTCTTCTTAGATTCTTTCTCCGGCTTCCAAGCTTCCGGGAAATTAGAACGTGGAGAGGGTGGTAGGGGTCAGACAGGATGGGTGTACCTGGCAGTCTGGAAGCGGTGCTGGATCAAATAAAGCCGACATAATCTGAAAAGCTTAGCTGTATTCTCAGACCTCTTCCATCTGCTCTCGCGTTAGACCCTCACTATTCTGAAAATTGAGCTTAAATACAACTCTACTTTTTTAAAAAATGAGATATAAGAATAACTTCTGCCATAAAATAATCCACTACATTTTTTTTATCACCTGTGATTGACAGGATTAGATCCTTTGCATTTGCTGACTTTAATAGCATCTCTTAGATATTACCATCTCTGTTTTTCAGATGAAGAAACCAAGGGTTCCAGTGAATTGTGTTATTGCCCTGGTTTGTGGAAGAGCTATACTGGAAACCAGGCCCATGCACCCTCAGAGTCCATCTTCCCTCCACCCCTCTGCACTTTTCCTCTGCTGGGAGTGCTAATGAAGCAGTCTTAAAGTTTTATTGATTCATTTGACAAGAACTTTTTAAATCCTGCTTTGGGCTCGGGACTTTGTTTGAAAAGTGTGTATAGGAGTGGAAAGGTGCTGGGTTCCACAAGCTGACACTGGTGTTAGTATATTTCTCAATGGTCACTTTACTTTGTATGCTTGTCTGAACTGTCTTGTTTGAAAACATGAATAGTGTTTCTTTACCATGAAAATTAATGGTATGAGAAAATAATCATGGAGATATTTAATTATTTATTTATTTGTAAGCAATATATCCCATTCTACTTAAGTGCACTAAAGTAAAATCTCGAACACTTTGAAAGAGGTGATACTTTAAAAAAAATGTTTCTGCACAGATCATTTATTTTCATTATTGGTGATGCAGAAAAACAAATGAAAGAACCTCCATAAAAATCACTTTCAAGAGAAAAAAAAACACCTTCAAGAGATAACCACACTTAACATTTTGGTGCATGTTCTTCCAACTATGGGTTAAGGGTGATATATAAATGTATATTTTTTAAATTTTTTTTTAAATTTGAGATGTAGAACTTTCACGCATATATGTGTGGAGGAGTTGTTAGAAAGCCTTTCTTTTTCTGGCACCCCCATACCATCATATCTATTAGAAATCTGGGTGCTGGAGAGCTACCCAATTTATCTCTGGCTTTAGTATAGACTATTTTTATTCTCAATTCCCTATATATTTATCTTTAGTTTTTAGGATTACTAAGCAGTTCTACTTTTACCAGCTTTGTCAATCACAATATAGAAATATGAATAAAGAAGAAAAATAATATAAATAGAGCAACTGCAAAATCTAGTGGCATATGGATTTCTTAATTAAAAAAAAAAAAAAAAAGTATTTCTCTTATTTAACACAAGTAGCTACTAAAGCTGAATTTGGTTGGATCTCTCTCCAGGAGAGGAGACCGTGTAGGAGAGAAGGTAGATACATAAATAATAACATGGTAATTGTTATAATAAAATAACAACTAGGTGACAGTTTGAAGCAAAAGAGATTAGGAAAGTCAATAGTACCTTTTGCATTGGATTTGAAGAGATAGTAGGCGTTTACCAGGTGGCCCTCAAGGTGCTTACACAATTTTTTTACTTAGCCCCAAATGATCTTACCTCCTGCTTCACAGAGAAAAATAACATTGTGTGGGAATTCTTTCTCTCCCTTCAAATATATCCATATTCAAACCTCTGCTTCCCTCTTTCTAGATTCAGAAGAGGTTTCCTTCTATTCAAAGCTGACCTCTTAACCTATACTCTATCTAATATTCCTTTTGTATCTTATGCCAAGCTTAAGTCTTAAATCAGCAGTTTTCAGAGGTTCCCAAGTCTCTTTCAGGAGGTTCATAAGATCAAAATTATATTCAGAGTACAGTGGATTTTTTTGTGAAATATATATATATATATATATATATATATATATATATATAGTTGGCACTATACCTATGTCCCCAATTCCCCCCTCCTTTGCCCACCTCCACTCAGCCCCCGCCCCACCCCACCCCCTTATCTGTGTTCATGGGCTATGCATATATGTTCATTAGCAAATCTCTTTACTCTCTTTCATCTAGTCCCCTCTAAATCTGTCAGTCTGTTCCATGTATCCATGCCTCAATTTCTATTTTGTTTGTCAGTTTATTTTGTTCATCAGATTCCACATATAAGTGAGATCATATGGTATTTGTTTTTCTCTGACTGCCTATTTCACTTAGCATAATCCTCTCCAGGTCTCTCCATGCTGTCACAAAAGGTCCGAGTTCCTTCTTTTTTATAGCCGCTTAGTATTCCATTGTGTAAATGTACCACAGCTTTTTTATCCACTCATCTGCTGATAGACACTTAGGCTGTTTCCAGATTTTGGCTATTGTAAATAACTCTGCTATAAACATATTGATGCATATATTCTTTCTGATTGGTGTTTCAGGATTTTTAGGATATATTGCCAGAAGTGGGACTGCTGGGTCAAAAGGCAGTTCCATTTTTAAATTTTTGAGGAAACTCCATACTATTTTCCACAGTGGCTGTACCAGTCTGCATTCCCACCAACAATGCACGAGAGTTCCCTTTTCCCTACATCCTCGTCAACACTTGTTGTTTGTTGATGTATTGATGGTAGCTTTTCTGGCAGGTATGAGGTGATATCTCATTGTAGTTTTAAGAGTACAATGGATTTTAATATGACAAAGTTTGTTGTATGGGTTCAGATTCCACATTGCAATGAAGTTTTAGGAATTATGTCTTGTCAAATTTTAGTATGGTATCAAAGAAAAATATCTACTAACTTGTGAAAAAGCTATTAAAATTCTTTCTTTCTAAACTATATGTCTGTGTGAAGCTGGATTTTCTTCATATACATCAACCAAAACAATATATTGCAGTAGATTAAATGCAGAGGCAGATAGATGCGAGAATCCAGCTATCATCTACTAAGTTATACACTAAAAAGATTTGCAAAACCGTAAAACAATTCGCTCTTCTATTTTGAGGAAAAAATATTTTATTTTTTAAATAAATATGTATGTTAACATATAGTACATTTATTATTTTTTTAAATTTCTGGGTGTCAATTTCTAATATGATAAATATTGGTATATATAACCAACATAAACAAAAACTCTTGGAATGCACAATAATATTTAAGCGTATAAAGGGTACTGAGAACTGTTGACCTCTCTTTCTCTCTCTCTCTCTCTCTCTCTCTCTCTCTCTCTTTCTCTCTCTCTCTCTCTCTCCCTCCCTCCCTCCCTCTCCTGATTTTCCTTTCCCTCTCTTCTTTCCCCTCTCCCTCTCCTTTTCTTCTTATTTTTATTCCCTTCACAGCCAGATTTCCTGGAGAAAGCATTTCTACCATTTATTCACTGCTCCACTACCACTATTCTTAGTCACCCAGTGGCCTTCTGGTTTCTATATCTAACACACCTACCAGTAAAAGACCTTTATCGAATCTTTCATACTAACCTATCTCCCCACTGTAGAAATCTGCTACCATCTAGTTGTTTTTTTTATTCTTACTTCCATGACTTATCAGTACTTTTTAAAGCTTCTTCTTTCTCTTTATTTCTTCATATTCTATATATTCAAATACACAACTTCATATTTACTTGCTACTTCAACCAACTATTCATATACAAATGTATGAGAATGCTCATAGAGTAAGCATTCTTTACCTAAACCGTTCTCCTAAGCTCTACCATATATCTACCAAGTGCTTTCTCCCTGGATGGTGACAGAAGTAGACATTTCACGTTTAACATGAGCAGAACTTATTTCCTCTATCATCTACCTAATTGCCCAAGCCAAAAAAGCCAGGAATCAGCTTCTTTGTTTCCCTCACTCTTCTTTCACTCTAATGTCTGATCTGTCATTAAATTATTTTGATTTGGTCTCCTAAATCTTGTAATCTTTTTCTTCTCCATTCCTTGATCATATACTCTTTCCAGGTTTTCATTTCTCCTAGATTATTGCAAAATTTTCAAACTGGTCTCTCTTCATATCTTTATTTAAAGGAATCCACTTAACCAAATAAGATCACATAATACCTTCTCTGAAAATCCCGAAGTGGCTACCCTGTAACTTTTAGTATAAAGTTTACATTCCTGTCGTAGCATATAGGCACATGATGATTTGGCCCTGCCTGCCTCCCTGATCTCATCTCTCATTACTTAATGACATGCATCCTCTGAGCCTAACCCATGCTCTCCTGTGCTATTACTGCTGCCTCAACTTTATCTATCTGCCTGCCTATCTATCTATCTATCTATCTATCTATCTATCTATCTATCCATCCATCCATCCATCTATCTAATCTATCTAGCAGAGGAAGGTTATCCTCAATCCTTTTTACTCATTCTTTTATCCTCCCACCATACCCAAATCTGTCTTGAGACAGCTCCTTCAGACCAGCTCAGCTTGCTGCTCCTTCTCTGGGCCCCATAACACTCTGTACACCCCTCTTGCAACATTTATCACTCAAAATTGTTTTAGCCCTTCTAGACTGAAAGACTTGAAAACAAAGATTTTCTGTTCTCTGTAGCTCCTATTACTAAGCACAGCGATTGTCAACCGGTGTGCCGCCAAGTTTTTAGAACATGCAATGCCTATTTAGTCAGGGGCACTGACCTCTTATCCCTTAGATTGTTAAACAAAAAAATGACAGCAGCCAACACCACAAAAGCCATCTGCTGTGAATGAATCACAATTATACCTATTTTTTTTTTGTCAGATTGACAAAAAGTATATTTTTGGTGTGCCGTAGAATTTTAGTTTATATGTGCTGTGAGATGAAAAAGCTTGAAAATTGCTGACTCAGTACAAAGCCTGATACACATATTTTGCAAATGTATGACAGATTGAAAGTAAATGTCTGCTTTTTCTAGAAAAGAGCATGAAATGAGCAAGGCATTGAGTTAAATAAGTAGAGACATATGTCGTGAATTTTGGAGTCAGATATGGGTTCAAGTCCTAGCTTGAATTTGCTACCTTTGTGAAATAGAGATGATACAACTGCCTTAGTCACTGTGAGGATTAAGAAATGTATAAATCATCTAGCATGGTACTGGGCGGGAAATTAATTCCTAACACTTAACACCAATATCTACAATGTGCTAGTCACTCATTAATATTAATGAATAAAATGATCATAGTCCCTGAACTCATGGAACTGATAGTCTAATGGGGGAAACAGTTAGTAAACAATTAAACAAATAAATATATGATTACAAATACATTGTGCAGTGATGAAAGATAATTAGATTGAGGGCAGATAGACCTTCTTAGCTGTGATGATCAAAGAAGGCCAATTAGAAGAGAATGCTAATATAGAGGCCTAGGATACAGGGAGACTTTTTGCTTCCTACTCTTTTATAGCTTCTGGATTTTGTACCATATGAATATATTCCTTACTTCAAAAATTAATTATATTGCATCTTAAAAATTGTGATCAGACAGGTTGGATGGACTCAAAAAAGGTGGAGGTGTCAATATATATAGGGAAGCAGGACAATAATTGGCAGAAGAATATCTGAATCTATTTGTCTTAATTAATTAGAAGGAAAGGTAACCACCTGTTGAGAGTGAGGGACACAGAGATCAAATAAAGCCACTTATAGAGAGGTAAATGTGTGAAATAGTTGCTAAGGACAATGAGTGAAGACAAGTAAAGGGATTAGTAGCAATGTAGAAGGCCCAATGGAAAAGGGATCCCCATACATTTATATTCACACCAATCTGCTCAGTTGTCATCTAGTTCTCTAGCTATATTCAGCAGCGCTGGTGTACAACTAAAATTGTGAGATTTATTGCTAGCTGCAACTCTCCATGGTGGGGTAGCAGAAGAAAAAGGGGGACAGAGGAAATAAAGGTTCTGTCTGGAAAGTAGTTAAGATGGTGAACCACAGAATTTCGCTTAATAGGGAATGAATTGTGATCAGGCAGGTCGGATGAACGCAAAAAAGGTGGAGGTGTCAAGGAAGAGCATGCTATGTAAAATGTTGGTGCATGGATCATATCCTTTAATGCTACACAGATTATTTCCGGATATATATTTTTTTTACTTCTACCAAAGAGTGTTGCATAAATATTTCATAGAAGTTAAGTACTGAATGATAAAACTATTAAATTGAAAAATAAATCTCTTTTATTAATAGATTTTATTCCTGAATATGTTCACAGGAATTTTTCTGGAAAAAAGTAAACTTTTTACTTTTTGTGTAAATTTCACTCAGAAAATATGTCAGGAAAGAAAAATCCTCTAATTTTTTAATTGCTATTATAGGTAGGGGGAAAATGCAAGCCTAGAAGATAGACAAATAAACTACAATTTAAATTTCTTCTTAGGCTATCAGCTACAGTTGACCCTTGAACAATGCAGGGGTTAAGGGCTCTGACCCCAAAATTTGAAAATCCGTGTGTAATTTTTTACTTCCCCCAAATTTAACTACTGATAACCTACTATTGACTACAAGCCTTAATGATAATATAGTCAATTAACATATATTTTGTATGTTACATTTTTGTATTATATACTGTATTCTTATAACAAAGTAAGCTGGAGAAAATAAAATATTAAGACAATCATAAGAAAAAATATATATATAGTAGTTATTGAAAAAAATCTACATATAAGTGGACCTGCATAGTTCAAACCTGTGTTGTTCAAGGGTCAGCTGTACTTGACTTTGGACTGATCCTTTGTTATGGTGTAGTCACTTGCCAACAGTTCATATGCTATAGCAAAGAGTGAGATATAAGCTTACAGATGTCATCACTAAGACAACAGTAAAATTTTAATGAGAATTTTTTATATTACAGGAATAGAAGATGAGCAAACCCATAACACCATCAACATATGTGCGCTGCCTCAACGTTGGACTAATTAGAAAGCTGTCAGATTTTATTGATCCTCAAGAAGGATGGAAGAAGTTAGCCGTAGCTATTAAAAAACCATCTGGTGATGATAGATACAATCAGTTTCACATAAGGTAACATATAAAATTATTTTTCTTTTTAAATTCTTACATCACAATTTAGAATGATTAATAGGTATAAGTGCTGTCTAATATTGCCATTCAGAAAAGAAACCACTCTCCAGGGAAATAATAGTAATAAGTACCCCCTCCTTTTTTTGCAATGTTTGCTTCATTCAGCTAGGCTAATATTGTAATCTGGAAAATAAGTTTTGGGGTTAGAATCAAGATTCCCACTTTTTGGGGGTGGGGGTGAGAGACAGGAGGAGAGAGAGATGGGGGCGGGGCAGGGAGGGAGAAACAGAGAGAGAGAGAGAGAGAGAGAGAGAACCAGACCAGAGAGCAGAGAAGACAAGTGACCCAAGATTCCCACTCTTATTCTGGTTCTCTGACAATCTGAGAAGTACAGTTCACTCTGCTTCACACTGTCATTTCCAGTTTGAAGTAACATAAGAATATTATAAGAATTGCTAGCAAAATGCTGGAGCCTAAACTTTTATATGTGTGAATCTCTAATTCACTTTAACAGTGTATTTTGGAAATTCAGTGACATTTCCTAGTTGCTTGTAAATATATATATCTATGAACAGAGTTTTTAGTTCTTAGCCAGGATTTTTCAACAGTAGCTTCAGATAATTTCTGTTCTTTCTCTCTATTCATTTCTGCTTGATTTAGTGTAGAGTATAATTATAGATTTAATTTTGGTTAGTTATTTTAGCTCAAACTTATGTCAAAATATGTCTTTATAACCAAGAGGAAAAGAAATGCATTTGTGATTTTCAGCATTAACCTGATAAAGAACCTAAAACCATAGCTCCCTTCTAGGAAATGTTTCCTCATGTGAAGGATGAACATCTTAAATTACTTAGAAGAAGCTTCACTTTAAAGCTTGGCAGCCTATTTTTAAAGATATTACTATTTCATATTACTATTAAAAGTTTTGAGAGGATAGTTGAGGCAGTGGTAGTGTGGAGAAAAAGCCCTTCTTTTCAGAATAATGGCAGCAAATAATTATTGAAGGAACAATAGAATTAGAAAGTTACTGCCCGGCTGATGTGGCTCAGTTGAGCATTTTCCCATGCACCAAGAGGTTGCCAGTTCAATTCCCCATTAGGGCACGTGCCTGGGTTGCAGCCTCTATCCTCAGTAGGTGGTGTGCAGGAGGCAGCTGATCGATGTCTCTTTCTCACTGGTATTTTTATTTCTCTCTCTCTCTCTCTCTCTCTCTCTCTCTCTCTCTCCCCCCCCCCTTTCTCTCTCTAAAATCAATAAAAACATTTTTTTCTTTATTGATTTTAGAGAGACAAAGTGAGAGGGAGAGAAAGAAACATCCAAGAGACAGAACATCGATTGGCCATCTCCTACATGCCCCCCACTGGGAATCGGGCCCACAACCTGGGCATGTGTCCTGACTGGGAATCTAACCTGCAGCCTCTTGGTGCATGGGTCATCGCTCAACCACTGAGCCACACTGGCCGAACAATTAAAACACATTTTTTAAAAAAGAAAAAAGTTACCAGTTTACAACCACCAATGAGTAATTTATTCACACAAGTCTCATCAGTGGGTGCTTGAAAACCACAACATGAAAAGTTATTAATGAATAAGACTGCACAGATTTGAAAGTATTATCCATAGGTTGCTTATGAATTATGAAAAGGAAATAGAGAAATTTCTCTATAAAAAGAGAGAAAATCTGAAGCACACCTTTTTAACCAAGTAATCACACTTTGTGTCACGAGTAATGGTACAAACTGCCCTTATGTGCCTCCAGATGTGATACACACACACACACACACACACACACACACACACAGATGGAGAGGGGGAGAGTAAGCGCACAACTTGGAAATTGTTACAAATTGGTCAGTTGGTGAATCTATGAAAGGTAAATGGTTGTTCATGGTATTATTTTTTCAACTTTTCTGTAGGTTTGAAATTTTTCAAAATAAAAAATTTGAAAGAAAAAACAAGTTTTTAAGCGTTACTTTTCAAAACTAATTTTTTTTAATACATGTGTTTTTGTTTTGTTTTCATTAATTTTTTTTTAGAAATAGAGAAAGGGAGAACGAGAAAGAGAAACATTTATAGGCTGCCTCCTGCTCGCCCCCTACTAGGGGGTCGGGCCAGCTACTCAGGGCATGTGCCCTGACCTGAAAAGAACCCGGAGAACTCCCGGGCATGGGATGACACGCAACCCACTGAACCACACTGACCAAGCTCAAAACTAATTTTTTTTTTTTTCAGAATTAATTTTTAAGGAAGTGGGAATGAAAAACTGATCAGTGTTTTTCTTTTAATTGAAATACAGTTAAGATCAAAGGAATAATTCTCCAAGTTTATGAATATTTGATATCTTTAAGCAAGCTGGTTTGTTAAAAATCATATGGCTAGCAGAGTTAATATGTCATGTAGGGAAGTAATATAGCTTAGTAAGTTGAAAACGCACTTTTATGTCAAATGAAATCTGAATTTGGATCTCAATTTAGATACAGTTTATTGGCTGTGGCTACAGGCTGGTTACTTTACCTCTCCACACCTGGCTTTCTCATTATAAAGTAGTATGATATTCATAGTATCTTTCAGAATTAAATGGTTCATATGTGTACGTCCTGTAGCCCACTGAGCAAATACTCAGTAAGTGCTCAGTATGTGTTAACCTGTCATCACCTTCAACATCTTTTTTCATTCTGCCTGTCTTTCCTATTCTCTGTAATTATTTCTGGTATTCTTTTATTGTCCCTTTTCTTTAATATTCTAGGAGGTGCTGCTGGAGAAAGGGACAAGGGAATAATTACTATTTTTATGTTAACTCTATTTACATAGTAATTTTATATTTCGTTGCTTTTAAGGAGATTTGAAGCATTACTTCAAACTGGAAAAAGTCCCACTGGTGAATTACTGTTTGACTGGGGCACCACAAATTGCACAGTCGGTGATCTCGTGGATCTTTTGATCCAAAATGAGTTTTTTGCTCCTGCGAATCTTTTGCTGCCAGGTAAACTGAGTGTGACTGGGGCATCAACCGTGAGGGTGGACAGACAAGTGGCAGAAATAGGACCATTTCTTCTTACTCTTACTTTTTTCTCATAGCAGATGAACCTGACATTTGAGACTCCTTTTCATTCTTTCCCCAACTCTTAACAAGCACCCCAGACATAGGGCACTGCAGACTTGCTTGCTGTTAAGGAGATGGAGGCTTCGTAATTGAGCCTGATCCCACCATTAAAGTAAGGTAGTTTGGTGCCAATAGGAAGTTAGGAGGATGGGAATTTGTTTTTATTTGGGTTTTTTTTTTTTTTTTTTGGCTCTTGCTTTTTTTCACCCTCCACTTCTACCCCAATGGGACTCTGTGGTCATGATTTCCCTACACTGTATCCTGATGGGTTAGTGTCTTGTTGCCTTCCTATTAACCTTACTTTTTCCCTTTGATGTCATTTACATTGGTGGTTTTCACCCTTCAGTGTACATAAGAATCATCTGGGGTTTTTGTAAACAGGTAGTTTCCTGAGCTCTATTGTAGACATCATTATCAGAATTCTGGAATTGGGTTCAAGGTCTTTGGTCTTTTTTTAATCCTCACTCAAGAATACTTTTCCATTTATTTTCAGATAGAGTGGGAGGGGGAGAGAGAGAGAGAGAAACATTGATGTGAGAGAAACACATCAATTGGTTGCCTCCCACATGACCCCGACCAAGGCCAGGGACCAAACTGCAGCCCAGGTACGTGCCCTTGACTGGAATCAAACCCGCATCTCTTTGGTCTGCAGGCTAACGCTCTAACCATTGAGACAAACTGGCCAGGGCAAGGTCTGTGTTTTAAACTTCAGTGCTTCTGATGCAGGTGGCTCATAGACCACTTTTTAAAAACTCTGCCTTACCCATCTTTAACAAAACAAAATTCTTACTAGGTAGCTTCTTGTGTGTGCTGTGAGAATATGGGGCTAACATGGAAACTGCAATGGTGTTAAATGAACCAAGTTTCTAGATTAACTTTTTCACAAACACTATTTCTATGGAAAGACAACTTGTATCTTACTTCATTTGGCAGATGCTGTTCCCAAAACCGTTAATACACTGCCTTGTAAAGAACCTGTGACAGCTGAGCAGAATCAGATGCCTCTCTTTGACAAAGACAAGGCATTTGTGACACCTGTGCAGAATCCTCAACAAAATTATACGCCACCGGACTCCTCAAGTCCAGAAAGTGTAGAAGTTAGTGATACACGTAAGTGACATTTGCAGTGCATTCCACTAGTGCAGTAGTTTTCAACCGTGCACCACAAGAATTTTTAAAACATGCAATCCTGACTATTTAGACAGGGCTATTGACCTCTTTTCCTTAGACTGTCAAAAAAAATAACAGCAGCCTACACAACAATAGCTGTCCAGTGTGAATGAATCAAAATTATATCTATTTTTTATTTTAAATTTATTTTTATTGTTGAAAGTGTTACAGATGTCCCTCCTTTTTTCCCCCATTGACCCCTACCTCCCCGCTCCCGCCCCCACCCCTGCGTTCACCACACTATTGTCTGTGTCCATTGGTTTGCATATACCCATATAAGTTCTTTGGTTTATTTCTTCCCGCCCAGCTCCCCACCCCCATCACCACCTTTTCACTCTGAGGTTTATCCGTCTGTTCCATGTTTCCATGTCTCTGGATCTGTTTTGTTTGTCATTTTATTTTGTCCATTAGATTCCACGTATAAGTGAGATCATGTGATACTTGTCTTTCTCTGGCTTATTTCATTTAGCATGATATTCTCCAGGTCTCTCCATGCTGCCTATTTTTTTGTCTGATAGGCAGAAAAATATAACATATTTTTTGGTGTGCCACAGAATTTTAGTAGTTATCTTATGTGTGCATGAGAGGAACAAGGTTGAAAATTGCTGCACCAGTGGTTTGTTATTAAGACCATTACTGCTAAAAACAAATGTCTCCTTTGTGCGTACTGGCAATAGCTCTTTCGTAGTTTTTTTCCCTCCTGATTTATTAAGCTCCATTTTCATTGTATAAGTCAGTGTGTTATCAGTGAGTAGAGGCAATAAGTAAATATTTACATAACTTGAAAGAATTATTTTATAAAGAAAATAAGTGACTAAAATTTTTATTTAAAAATGGTTTTGCTCTCTCCCATTGTGTGTAACCCACAGTAATAAGTATGTAAATATAAAATACAGATTGAGAAAAGACTGGAATTATTAAAACCAATTTCTTTTTTATTGAAGCACCTTTTTCCTTATTTTATTGGCATTGTAGGTTTTCACAGTTTTTCATTTTATGAATTGAAGGATGTTACCAATAACTTTGATGAACGACCTATTTCTCTTGGTGGCAACAAAATGGGAGAGGGCGGATTTGGAGTTGTTTATAAAGGCTTTGTGAACAACAGAACTGTGGCTGTGAAGAGGCTTGCTGCAGTAAGTGATAGTTTTAAGGAATAAAAAGATTTAAAGGAAGTTACTTTCTAGTGTGCTATATAATACGTTTTAAATTAATCTTTAGGAACTATATTATTTCAGTCATATTTTCTTTAAATATCATTCTAAGCTAGTAATTCTTAACATTTAAAAATCTGTTGAAAATTATGGGCCCTATCCCTACAAAAATGTTGTCATGCGCACATACAGTCATGGGAGATTCACAAAATAAAGTTGAGATCTCCTGCTTTACACAGTGCTTCATGCATACTAAAGATTCAAATGGTAAGATGCTCAGAAAATTTTATAAAAATGACTTACTTGTACTGCTTTTCCCATTTAAAAATAAAGTTCATAAGATGTACATTAAGAAACAAATTGAAAATTTTCTTGTCTATATCCTTTGTTTCCATTTCTATTAGGATATTCACCTTTAACTTATTGATTAGTTATATTTTAAATTTGTTGTTCTATTCTAAAAATACCAATATAGATAGTACATATTTATATTATAAACACAGTCACCCTGTTATATATGCTAAAGATACTTTTGCAGGTTTTATTTTTCTTTTTGCCTTCAAATTGGCATATGTGTTCTGCTCCACAGAATTTTTTTTAAATGTTTATGCAGTGAAGTCTCATGTTATATTTTTTGCTTCCACAATAACTCAGTGAGGTTTATATGGTTACATGGGTTATAAGACTTTTTTCCTTCCACTAACCAGTCATATAATTGAGCAAATCATTACATTTCTAGTTCTCAGTTGTTCTATAAAGCAGGGAGAAAAATGTCTTATTATTTTGAGGAAAGCAGTATCAGCCAATCAATCTCTTGAGCCACATTCTAGGGTTGAAAGCTGTAGGGTTATTGTATTGTGTTATGTTGCATATTATTTTATTTTTGCAGGTGGTTGACATTAGTACTGAAGAACTAAAACAACAGTTTGATCAAGAAATAAAAGTAATGGCAAAGTAAGTTTATTTGGCAGTGTGGTGTCGTGGAAAAGAGCGTGGCAGGGAGTGAGAGATCTGGTTTGTCACCCAGAGTATGCCATGAACTAGTGGTATTTTCAAATATGTACAAATGAAATAAAGGGTTTAGATTAGAGGAATTGGAAGAACTTTGACTACAGTTCTATGACTAAACGTACCCATATGCCTTATGCCTATTAGATTAAACAGCAGTCATTATTTTATTTTTATATTGTTTTTGTTTTTTTTATCCTCACTCAAGGACATTCTTTCTTTTTTTGTTCAGCTAGAGTGGGCGGGAGAGAGAGGGAGAGAGAAAGAAACATCGACGTGAAAGGGACACATTGAGTGGCTGCCACCCACACAACCCAACCAGGGCCGGGGACATACTGCAACCGAGGTACATGTCCTTAGTGGGAACTGAACCCGGGTCTCTCTGGACCGCAGGCTGACGCTCTAACCGCTGAGCCAAACTGGTCAGGGCAGCAGTCATTATTTTAAATCACAGCAAAGTTACATAGAATTTCAACTTTCTTCCACTATCGTGTTTTCTGCTCCCAGAATTTATGAGAGATAAATTATAGAGATAAAAAACAAGTATAGAATAATAGGCCCTTAAGTTTTCACTGATACATCACGTAGGGCAAGAGAAACAAAGGAAAAACTTAATAAATGGAACTACGTCAAACTAAAAAGCTTCTGCACAGAAAAAAAAAACAACAAAAAAAAAAGCAGCATAAAATGAAAAGAACCCACTGTATGGAACAATAATATTTTGCCAAAGATATATCGGATAAGGGGTTAGTTTCCAAAATACATTAAGTACTCATACAACTCAACAAAGGAAGACAAACAATCCAATTAAAAACTGAGCAGAGGACCTGAATAGATACTTCTTCAAAGAAGACACACTGATGGCCAGTAGACATATGGAAAAATGCTCAACACCACTAATCATCAGAAAGGTGCAAATTAAAATGACTATTAGGTATAACCTCACACCTGCCTGAATGACTATCAACAAATCATCAAACAAGTGCTGGCAAGGATGTGGAGAAATGGGTATTCCAGCACACTGCTGGTAGGAATGCAGACTGGTGCAGCCACTATGGAAAACAATATGGTATTTCCTCAAAAAATTAAAAGTGGAACTGCCATTTGACCTAGTGATCCCACTTTTAGGAATATATCCTAAGAAGACTGAAACATCAATCAGAAAAAATATATGCACCCCTATGTTTATAGCAGCACTATTTACAATAGCCAAAATCTGGAAACAGTCCAAGTGTTCATCAGTAGATTAGTGGTTAAAAAAGCTGTGGTATATTTACACAATGGAAAACTATGCAGCTGTGAAAAAGAAAGCTCTCCTGCCCTTTGAGACAGCATGGAGGGACCTGGAAAGCATTATGCTAAGCAAATCTGTCATTTGAACAGAATGACAAATCTCAGAGGGGGGGGGAGGGGGGGAAGAGATAAACCAAATAACTTATATGCATATATGCATGACCAATGGATACAGACAAGTGTGGTGAAAGCAGTGGGGAGGAGGTTATCAAGAGGGGGAAAATGGAGGACATCAGTAATACTTGCAACAATAAAGATAAATTTTAAAAAAGGAATAATAGACCCTTAGATATAAGTTAACACCTATAAAGCAGGAGAGTGTTATATGCAAGAATGCTTACAAGGCATTGACCCAGTATGCTTGAATATTGTTGGGTATCGTCAGGAAAAGTAACAGAAACAAATTAGGAAATTTATTCTAATAATTACAGTAATTGATACTTGAGTATATATAATACACCAGGCACTGTGCAATGTCTTTTATGTGCATTGCTTCATTTAATCCTCACAATAATTGCTTTAACCTCTCCCCCAATATCTTTTTTTCTACTGAGATTTAGAAAGTTTAATAACTTGCCCAACGCCACATAACCAATAAATATTAGAGCTGGATCTGTCAGATCCAGATATGTCGGATTCCAGAGCTGAGTTTTTAATATGATCCTCATTAGATCCATTGCTATAAATCACCAATTCTAGTTGCTTAACCTCAAGAAAGAAATAATAGACTGGAATTAATTTATTTACAATAAAAATAATGCACGCTGATAAAAAAATTAAAACACTTTTATGATTTGTTCTCCCCACTCCTACCCCTACTCTTCAACCCTAAAAGTAATTTTTTCAAAGTAAGTAATCTGGGAAATACAGGAAAATATTTTTAAAATAATAGAAGTCATCTCTTATTTGTATCACTCAGAGATAACCATTGACAACCATATTTGATATACTTTTTTCATGATGTCTGTGTCGCATTTTCCCAATATCATTAAAAATTTTTAAACCCTGGCCAGATTGGCTCAGCAGTAGAGTGTTGGCCCGCAGACCAATGAATCGTGGGTTCAACTCCAGTCAAGGGCAAGTGCCTCTGTTGCAGTTGGTCCCTGGCCCTGGTTAGGATCATAAGGGAAGCAACCAGTCGATGTGTCCCTCTCACGTCGATGTTTCTCTGTCTTCCTTTCCCTCCACCTCTCTCCCTCCCACTCTATCTGAAGATAAATGGGAAAATATCCTTGGGTGAAGATTAAAAATAATAATAATAATAATAATTTTTTAAATGTTTTGAACTATTGTATATAATTCTAGCATATATGAGTATTATATTTTATTTAACCATTATCCTGATAGATTTGTTTCTGATTTTCAATATTACAAATTAAAGCTCCTTTAAATCTCTTAATACATAAATCTTTAAATGCAACTCTGCTATTTCATCAGGTAGAGTCCTAGAAGAATTACTGATTCGCCCTGACGGTTTGGCTCAGTGGTTAGAGTGTCAGCCTGCGGTCCAGGGAGGCCCAGGTTCAGTTCCCGCTAAGGGCATGTACCTCGGTTGCAGTTTGTCCCTGGCCCTGGTTGGGTTGTGTGGGTGGCAGCCACTCGATGTGTCCCTTTCACGTCAATGTTTTTCTCTCTCTCTTTCCCTCCCACTCTATCTGAACAAAAAATGGAAAAATGTCCTCGGGTGAGGATAAAAAAAAAAAAAATTAAAAAATAAAAAGAATTACTGATTCAAAATGCATTAACTTTTTAAAGGCTTTCCAAGTATAATATCTAAATGGCCTTATAGCTAGGTATGATAACTAATACTCTTACCAGCAATGTATTACGATTTCAAATTTCACTGCTTCCTCACCACCACTGAATATTATTGCTATTTTTAATAAGTATCAATCTCTGTACCTTACTAGCAGAATGACCTTAGCCATGTTCACTAACTCTCTATCCATTAGTTTTCTTATCTATAAAATGGGATAATATAATGGGTTCTTCATTATGTTATTGTGAGGAATAATTAAAGCAGGTAAATTATTACAGTGCTTTATATATATAAACTCAGCAAATGTTATCTACTCATTTCTAAAATGTGTCAATTTGTTGAAACATGGAGCACTTATCATTTTAATTTACACTTTATAAAATATTTTTGAGGATAGACTAATTTCAAATCAAAATCTGATTTGAAATAATGAAATGCCAGATTTATAGATCATTTTGAACGAACAAATGAGTAAGCACTTAGATGGAATACTTGTCATGTTCTAGGTACATTTCTAGGCTCTTAATATTTGCTCATTTAATTCTCATAGCATCCGTGTCACATATTACTATCCACATTTAGCAGGTAAATTTGCTGAGGCTCAGGGAGTTGTTCATCTGCTATAGTTCACATATCCAGGAGGTGGCAGAGCTGAACTTCAGGCATAGGACTGAACACTGAGCCCAGTTTTCTTGCTACTGTATCACAAATGTCTGCAGTTTTGTTATATTTCAACTCTCTTTGGATTTTTATTCACAAGTACACCTGAAACTAACATAATGATGTATGTCAACTGTAATTGAAAGTAAGAAATGATTAAAACAAAAAGAAACTCAAGTTAAGTTATAATCAGATATGATTAAATATCAGAAATGTCTAAATTAGATGTGATTAAAGATCAGATGTCTGTAAATCAGTGCTTTGAAAGGGTTGTCATACAGGTTTCAACAGACTTTTTGAAATCTTGTTTGTGCAATAATTGAAAATTGTGCTAAACAAGGTAAACATCAGCATAGTCCTTAACCAAACTAACAACTTCCGGTGGTCTGAATTATTGAACTTTTACTATAAAATAGAAAGAGGTTTTGCTTCTAAGTTGATCAGTATTGACTAGAAGGGGAACTGTTTATAGAAAATTTTAAACAATTACAAGAAACACATATAAACATATCATATGATATAAAGCATATTATTTTTTTGCTCTTTTTTCTGTTAATGCTCTAAATTGAATAACTTCCCACCTACAGCCGAATACATGTATGTATCATAATAATTTTTGAGTGGAAAATTATTTGTCACAGGTGCCAACATAAAAATTTAGTAGAACTACTTGGTTTCTCAAGTGATGGAGATGACCTCTGCTTAGTATATGTTTACATGCCTAATGGTTCACTACTGGACAGACTGTCTTGCTTGGTAAGATGTTTTGTTCATTAGATTTTGGCTTTCTGTTTCTTTGTTGGATACTAATATTCACCTTGTGGCAGGATCATTTAAACTGCATTAATATTAGTAGTTTTCCTGCTCTATGAAAATTACAGTTGATATGTAAAAAACTGAGGTTTCCATTCTTTTAAGTGATTATCTAAAATGTAAAATATTAGTCAAGGCTAGACTTTGATGATGCTCTTACATATTTTTATTGTCAAATGAAAAATGCTAACCTTCATTTAAAAGTTACTTAGGCCCAGCCCATGTGCCTCAGTTGGTTGAGCATTGACCGATGCACCAACAGATGCCAGTTCGATTCCCACTCAGGGCACATGCCCAATTGCAGGCTTGATCCCCAGTGGTATGTGCAGGAGGCAGCCAATGGATGGATATTTCTCTCTCTTTGATGTTTCTATCTCTCCCTCTCTCTTCCTCTCTCTCTAAAATCAATAAAAACATTTTTTAAAGTTGCTTAGAAAATTTTTCTGTTATATATTATCTGTAGGTATTTTTATCCTGTTTTTTAAATTGGTTTGTTTCTTCATAAGGATGATACTCCACCACTGTCTTGGCACATGAGATGCAGGATTGCTCAGGGTGCAGCTAATGGCATCAGTTTTTTACATGAAAACCATCAAATTCATAGAGATATTAAAAGGTAAATGCTACTTTTGGAAAACCATCTTTAAAGAATAATTTGCTCTCCCTCTTTCTATTCACTATGTCCATGCATGTCTTAACCTAGATCACTCCTGGATTATGGGTGTCCTTTTTCTCCCAGGTGCTCTGCCTTTAGACCCTCACTATCTGTTGTTGATTTTATTGCAAACCCTTCTGATCAGCCTTTAACCTGTCTGTACCAGTTCTTATCTATTCACTACATTGCCAGGTTATAGCCCTAAAAATCAAGCCTGGATACTAGTTTCTTGAAATTGGTCGTATGTTTTTATGTTCTAATCACTATTACATGTTGCTTTATTTACCGGAAATGCATTTCTTTCCCTCATTTAACCATCAACTTCTAATAATCATTCAAGACTAAGCATGCTTTTCCTTGGATTTTTCTCCAGTTCTTTTACTCATGTAGTTGTTCTCTCTGCATTTTATACCCAATATCCTAATTATGGAGTACTTTTTGGATTTTTAAAAATTATGCGTGGCCCTGGCTGGGTGACTCACTGGGTTGGAGCTACCTCCCATATACCAAAATGTTGTGGGTTCAATTCCCAGTCAAGGCACATACCTAGATTGTGGGTTCTATCCCCAGTTGGGGAGCATGTACGGGAGGCAACTGATCACTGTTTCTCTCACATCAATCTTTCTCTACCCCTGCTGCCCCCCCCCACTAAAGATCAATAAAAATATATCCTTGGGTGAGTATTAAAAATATATATTATGCATGTACCTTTGTCACAGACAAGATTTGAATATTCTTTCATGTCCAGCACTGAACTTAAATACTATAATACACAGGGAGTCCTTAATAAGTTTTGTGGAATGAAAGTATGAGTGAATGTATATAATGAATGAAGGAAGATCTTTTAGCTATATTCTTCTTAGAAAGATTTCAGATCGAACAAAAACTGAATCAATGAATGAATGAATAACTGAGATACTTGGATTGGAACTTTGTTTTCAAATGAATTTAGAAATGTTAGGAAAGGAACTAAGGGTAGTGCTTTGAGAGACTTTAAGGGAAATGACCCTATAATAAATTAGTTGTGACATAATGAAAATATTGATGTAAAGAGCATTATTTCATTTTTATTCTCCTAAAATTTTTCCTCAAGAAACAAAAAGGAAAGGAAGACAGTCACTGTACTTTAATTTGAAATGTAGATTTATTTACACAAACTTCAGGTTTTTATGGTGTACATTATAACATGTTATACTCCGTAAATACATACATACATAAAAACATTCATACACCTAATTAAGGAACCATTTGACTTACCTGAAAAGAAAAACATTTTTTTTCTCTGAACTTGACATTTTTTTCAGTGCAAATATCTTACTAGATGAAGACTTTACAGCTAAAATATCTGACTTTGGGCTTGCACGGGCCTCGGAGAAGTTTTCCCAGACAGTCATGACTAGCAGAATCGTGGGAACAACCGCTTATATGGCACCTGAAGCTTTGCGAGGAGAAATAACACCCAAATCCGACATCTACAGTTTTGGTGTGGTATGTTTCGTATATATAATTTGTAACAGTAATCATTTTGGTAATAATTATGAAATTGAAGTAGACTGTTTTGAATATTCGTGTTTTGCTTAGCTCTCTGTAAATTTTTCACTTTAACCTCTAGTTAAATGAGAAAATTACAAAAACATCTCCAACTTTGCATTGCTTTTATATTGATTTCTGAAATGACTGCAAGAAACGATTTTTTGGCCACACTATCGTCATGAATTAGTATGAAACTTAAATTGAATCAGTGCATTAAATAAATAATGTCATTCAGTATTTAGTGTCATATTTTAAAAATAAAATATTTTTTAAAAGAAATACACTTTGACATTCTCTGACCTACCGGTCTGTTCCTGATAACTTTTACGATGGAGTAAGGAGTGAGTGGGGCGGTTGGAGAAATTGAGTGCTTCTTCGTTCATCTTATTTTCTCATATGTGTTTTATATATGGAAATTTAACTTCATAGCGTTGTGAGCTCAAGGCACAGGGTTGTAGGATATGCCTCAAGTTTAGAAAATAATATTCTCCTAAGAGCCAGAGAAAATTATGCTTGTGAAGAAGTCCCTGCAAAACAGGAAAAGGAGTGTCCAGCACACGTGGAGTGGAGCTGATTGTTTAGTAAGTTGCCAACAGAAACGAACTGCTTGTGAAGATGGGTGGGAAGTGAAGGAAGGGTGGTGAGGAATGACCACCGCTCATGTTCTTTCTGCTTTAATTTCTAAAAGACAATGCAGTGTGTGGAAATGACTCATCAGATTTCATAATCAAGATTCATATTTCTTCCAGTGTCTATATGTTGCCATGAGTGTTACATTAATGGATTTGTTGTTTTTTGTCTTCATAGGTTTTACTAGAAATAATAACTGGACTTCCAGCTGTGGATGAACACCGGGAACCTCAGTTATTGGTAATGGAAAGATTCATTTTTTTTCCTAGTTGTTTTCTCTTTGTATTTACAATCTAAGTTTATATGGATAAATTTGGCATCTAGAAATGTCATTTTCTCTTGGCAATTACATGGCGGCATATAGAAAGAACATCAGATATTTCTAATCTCAGGTCTGCCGTGAAATATTTGTGAAGCTTAAAAAAGTCACTTTTATATTTTGTTTTCTAGTTTCTTTGCAGGTAAGTAGGAATAGAACTATATGATTTCTGAGGTCATCTTCAGTATATTTTTATTTGGTACTTTCAGAGCGATTACTAACAGCCTTTTTAGCTCAGAGGGGAAAAACATGATTTCTATTCAAATTTGTATCAGAATAGAATTCCTAGCAAAATTCTTTATTCTTTTCTATTATGGAGTATTTAATTTATGAAGTTATAGGACATATCACCTATGTGTTTGTTATATTAGACATTCATTAACAATGACACAAATACACTAACTGAATGCTAAAGCTATAGGAAAATTATGTCATGCCCCTTTTTTCCCTATGTAATAAAATTTAAGAACTTAGGGTATTTTTATAAAATTGAAGATTTATAGAAATATCTGCTATCATGTATAAGGTTTTCTTAAAATTCGTTAAATAACCACACTGACTTTATTCTAATTAATACGTTCTAATGGGATAAACCAGTGTGACACAGTCACACAATATATGTATACCAGATTATTTTCCCAGAATGGGGATTAGAAAGTCAAAGGGATAATATATATGCTCAAGAGCTGAGTACCATACTCTTTTAAGAAAAGCTTGAATATAATATCATATATTATAATATTGCTACAGCGTTCCTTATAAAACTACATTGTAAAGCTTCCCATGGTTTTCTGGACATGTAGTAATGCAGTAATATTACATGCTATATAATATTTCACATTAAAGTATATTTATAGAACATAATATTACTGTGAAAAGTTATTATTTTTATAATGAATTTTCTACGGTGGCACACACTGAAATTTAACATTCTGTCTCATGGGTGGCTGGTGGTCAGGAAAGAAGCCCAGGCTGCAGGTGCAGTTTTGAGCCATTCGTGTACAGGCATAGATGTAGTTTGGGGTATGGACTGAATTATACAGAGAAAGTGTGTAGACTGATAATCCAGGAGGACAGTAAGCAAGCACAGTGTTTTACTACCTTATGTTGTATATCTTTTAAGCAAGGCCTACCTGTCTGAAGGCGTACAATTTTCCATCTTTCCACCTGAGGCTTTTTCCCCTTCAGAATATTATAGAAGCCTCAAATTTACGGTTTGAAGAAGTATGTCATACAGAAAACATACACTCCATCTCAGCCACAAGTTTTGCTTATCCTCATATAATAAAAATCATAATACTTCAAGAAAGAGTATACTCTTTGACTTATTATTAAAGTTTGAATGTGGTATGACTATAAAGTAATGAGATTTTAATACAGGTGTAACTAAAAGAGAGTGGTCTGTTAAAGAACCTTTATATCACTATATTCTGCCATTACCCAAATATTATCAAAATTTATTTTTTGGAAGAGTTTCTGAAGAGTTTACATTGACCTCCCACAAATAGTCTTTGCCATCTGTATTAGTTTACTAGGGCTGCCATAAAAAAAAAAATTTACCGCAAAATGAGGCTTAGAATGACAAAAATGTGTCCTGACCGGTTTGGCTCAGTGGTTAAAGCAGAACAATGAGTCGTGGGTTCACTTGTGGTCAAGGGCACATACTTGGTTGCAGTGTGTCCCTGGCCCTGGTTGGGTCGTGCGGGAGGCAACCAGTAGATGGGTCTTTCTCACATCAGTGTTTCTATCTCTCTCTCTTTCCCTCCCACTCTGTCTGATGATAAATAGAAAAATATCCTCAGGTAAGGATTTTTAAAAAATGACAAAAATGTATTCTCACAGTTCTGGAAGCCAGAATTCTTAAACCAAGGTTTTGTCAGGGGTACATTACTTCTGGAGGCTGTAGGGGAGAGAGTATCTTTTCTTTCTTTCTTTTTTTTTTTTATCCTCACCCAAGGACATTTTTTCATTTTTGTTCAGGTAGAGTGGGAGGGAGAGAGAGGAAGAGAAAGAGAGAGAGAGAGAATCATTGACGTGAAAGGGACACGAGTGGCTGCCACCCGCACGACCAACCAGGGCTGGGGACAAACTGCAACCAAGGTACGCGCCCTTAGCGGGAACCGAACCCGGGTCTCTCTGGACCGCAGGCCGACGCTCTAACCACTGAGCCAAATCGGCCAGGGCATCTTTTCTTACCCATTCTAGCCCCTGGTGGTTGTTGGCATTCCTTGACTTGTAGCCACATCACTCCAGTTTCTGCCTTTGTGATCACATGGTTTTCTTCCCTGTGTTGGTTTTTGTCTCTTTCTGTCTCTTATACAGATGCTTGTCATTGGATTTAGGGCCCACCTGGGTAGCTTAATTACATCAGTACAAAGACCTTTTTCTTCAAATAAAGCCATGCTCACAGTTCTGGGGATTAGGACTTCGACATATCTTTTTGACGCCACTGTTCAACCCATTGTATCATCCAAGTCCAGTGCCTCTCTCCCTATTCATTACTTTTTCATGGCCCTGCCCCCCTTTTCTTTCTTCCTGTCTCTTTGATTCAACAGTTTGAGTACCCATAGAGAAGTGAGAGTGTACGAAGGTGGGGGAGTCTGTTTTAGAGGTTGGAACTGCATTATCAGGAGCAGATCAAGAAGCAGACCACCTTGTGCTGACAGCCCAGTAAATGCTGCTAATGGGAGCATAACAGCAATTAGCTGAGCAACATGAATACAAAAATTAGAAGGCAAATGGGAAGTACCTAGGAGGTGTATGTATGTATAAATAAGGTTTCTTCTGTATGTCTTCAGTTCTTAATATGGTTATAAAAGTAGATAATAAAATAAGAGTACATGTTATTATGAAATAAATTAAATAATTAAAATTTATGTTCTGATTTTTTTTCTTTCATTTGAAACTCTTAAAGTTTTAACACTTGTTTTAAAGCTAGATATTAATGAAGAAATTGAAGATGAAGAAAAGACCATTGAAGATTATATTGATAAGAAGATGAATGACATTGATTTCACTTCCGTTGAAACTATGTACTCTGTTGCCAGTCAGTGTCTGAATGAAAAGAAAAATAAGAGACCAGATATTAAGAAGGTATTAATTTTTTACACTCATTTAGAAAGTGAAGGAGGTGGGGTTTATCATCTTTTTCTAAGTGTACATTTCAAACCGACTATTTAATGGGGTTCTTTTTGTTTTTTCTCTCTTTCTTTTTTTTATAAAAGGTCCAACAGCTGCTGGAAGAAATGACGGCTTCTTAAAACTTTAATAGGATAGACTTTTGGCTTTTTTACATCTAGTTATCAAAAACGTTTTTTGACTAAATGCTTTTAGTAAACATTCTCCTTCTACCATTAACAAGGCAGCATGGTGCAGTGCAGTGGTTATTGAAGCTTATGAAGAACTCCCAGCATAGAGAACAAACAGAAGGAGAGCTGCCATATCAACCCTTCGTCCTGCCTTCTCTGTGTCACCCTCAGTCTTGCAGTACTCCCTGGACGTCTTCTTGGAACCTCACCAAACACAAATTGAAAACTACAGGACTAGCAAAAAAGAGGTCCAGACCATAGAATGAAAAGACCTTGGGCTGAAGCCCAGCTCCACTACTAATTTTCTGTAAAGCCGTGGGCACTCTCTTAGCTGCTTTGAGCCTTGTTTGTTTTTCACCTGTAACATTGGACCAATACCTACTGTGCCTCTCTAACAGGTAGTCATGAAAATCAAAGGATGCAGAATGTTTACAAGTAGTTTGTAACTTACAAAGTGATATAAAATTTTAAGTTTATATAGATGATTATAAAATTTTATTACAGTCATTTGTTTATGGAGTCACGTTAACGGTGTTCTACTTTAAGCAATTAGTCACCACAAGCCAAATAATCCCAGATGACACTCCCATGATATGGCCATAATTAGATGTTATATGTCAAAGTGAATGGAATTTTGCAGATGCATTTAAGTTTTCTAATGAGCTGACTTTGAGTGTTAACAGACAGACTGTGCTGGGTGGGCCTGACCTAATAAGGTGAGCTCTTACAAGAAGTCTGAGACTCCTGTGGGCCTTAAAAAAGTAAGAAGGCCACCACCTTGGATAAGACCTAAGAGTGGCCTCCAGGAAATGAGACTACCTTCTTGGCTGTCAGCCAGCATTGCAAACTGGGACCTCGGATGTATAACCACAAGAAATTGAATTTTCTAAGAGCCTAAATTTGCTTAGAAGAGTACTCCAGACTTCAGATGATACCATAGCTCCAGCTGACATGTAAATTTTGACCTTGTGAGACCCTCCGTAGCAAATCTAGCTAAGCTGTGCCTGTACTTCTGACATACAGAACTGTGACATAATAAATGAGTTACTATAAGCCACTAAGTTTGTGGTAAGTTATTATGCAGCTATAGAAAATGAATACAGATATTCCTGTGATGATGCTCCCATGGGGCTATACCGTCATGTTCACAGCTTCTGCCCATACTCAAGGGGCCGATGGGGATTAAACAGTGTGTATACCAGGGGCTTGAAGTGTACTGATTTTCACTGGATTTCTCAATTTTCCTCAGTCCCTACTCTTGTTGTTTGTTAGTTTGTTTTACTACAGAGTGAGAGACCTCTGGATAGTAGTAGTGATAAATTGATTTTTTTAATGACTTGAACTATTTCTCCTAAGTTTAAAAATTTTAATTGGTTTATATTATTTGAAAATTGATTTTTCAGGTTTGGATGAACAAAAGGAAGTAATTTACTTAAGTATGAAAACTGTCTGATAGAAAAGCTAATATGTATAGAAGGAATAACTAGTCTGTAATTATTCATTCAATAAGCTTTCTATCTTTAGTTCTTTCATTAACATACTCAGAACAAGAATATATATAGTGAGCTACAGTACAAGATGCTCGTCCTCTATATTGTACTGTTTAGACCCTCCATGCTTTCCTGGGAAGCAAAAATAGCACATCTGCCTGGCCAGTGTGGCTCAGTGGTTGATAATAGACCCATGCACCAAGAGGTCACCGGTTCGATTCCCAGTGAGGGCACGTGCCCAGGTTGTGGGCCTAGTCCCTAGTGAGGGACATGCAGGAGGCGACCAATCGATATTCTCTCTTATCAATGTTTCTATCTCTCTCTCCCTGTCCCTTTCTAAAAATCAATAAAGAAAAAAATTTAAAAAAATAGAAACAATCATTCATTTAAAAAGAAAACAAAAGACAGAATGCTTTAAAAAAATAGCACATCTTTCTAATCACCTTTGTAAACTAGGTATTTAAGCAGAAAGAAACATTTGCTAGTTTAAAAGGGAAAAATAAGTAAAATGACTTAGTCAAATTCATCTCAATGGGAATCCACATAATTTGAGGCACAGTATGATTTATAACACTGAACATAATTATGTTATTTTAAAATATAATTAACTATTTCTTAAATAAAAAGCATTTATGTAAAATGACATATTTATATCTGATTGTAGACTGTTACTGAACTATATTTAAATTTTCTAAATGAGTAAACCATTTTATTGATTTTGAAAAATTTACAGTGTTATTTGGTAGATGTTTTCACTCCATAAAATAAAATTGATATCAGATTTACCAAAATTGGGCATAGCTTCCCTTACAATAAGATTGCACCTTAGCTTTTTGGGCAGAAATAGTATAGTAAATCCAAGATTCCAAAGTTTTAACCACACTGTTTCATGTTTTTGCCTGGTTGTGTGTGATGTATCATGGACCACTGAACTTGTATGACTCACACAGATTTGGGAATGAATAATGGAGGGGTTGTCCTCAGCTCAGACATGAACAGGACTTTCACTAAAGTCCTGAGGAGAATAATGTCCAGGCTCTTTGCACGTGTTTCTCTGAGGCAGAAATGACAAACGCGGGGCGACATCTAGTTGAAGCTTTTTCTTAACTTCATTTGGAATATGCTTCCCTCTAATTTTTACAGAAACAAAAAAATTTAAACAGATTTTTGAAAAAAACTTTTGACAGGTTTTACAAGCTTTGATGTGAACTTTCAGTGTTGCCTTCAACAACTAATTGTGCGAACCAATGGACAGTGACAACATGGCTGAGAACCACCTACCAACCCCATTTCCAGAAAGAACAACTATCCTTATTCCCATGTTTCTGGCCCATTGGTTTGCTAGTCAGCCAACTTACAGTTTTAAATTCTATTTTCTCTCAACTTAGTATGAGGAACAGGCAGGCAATAGGAGCATTACTCAATGTTTTACTTTACTTTTCTAATATATAATTAAGAGAAATTTAAGACATTCTAAATCATTTATTGCTCTGTCCACTTTTCAGTGCTGTGGCCATATTAAATGGCCATAGGCCTCAGCCACTCATAGTCCTGTTATTCACTTTCAAACTAAGCATGTATTTTACTTTTTCCGGCTTTATTGGGGTATACTTAACAAATAAAAATTGTGTATGTATTTAAGGTATTCAACATGATGGCTTGATTTTATATATACATGGTGAAATGATTATCATAATCAAGCTAATTAATAAATCCAACACCTCACATAGTTACCTTTTTTTTTTTTTTTTTTTTGGTATGGTGAAAACCCTTAAGATCTACTTTCTTAGCAAATTTTAAGTATACAATACAGTGTTCTTAACTATAATCTCCATGGTAGACATTTGATCCCAAGAACTTACTCATCTTAAAACTAAAAGTTTATACGCTTTGACCATTCTCTATCCAGACTCCTTTAAAGTTTGTACTATTCCACTACAAGATAGGAATAGATTTTTAATCATTCAGATTTAGTCTCAGAAATAGTCAATATGGGGGCAATGCCAGTAAATAATATTTTATTCCTCTGATGAAATTAGGAAAATCATCTTATAAAATACTCTCACCTAAAACAATAATAAATTAATTCAACAAATATTTGATTATTTTCTATGGTTCAGGCATTTATCAAAGTAGTGGATACATCCACAGTCCTTGTTCCCAAAGAGCTTGTCAGGAGAAGCTCTGTTCAGATGAGATGCTAATAATTAAGAAAGACAGTATCAGGTAGTAAGTGACAGGTGTTAGAAACATTAAAACTATATATTGTGACCGAGGGATTCCCTTGGCCGAGAAGCTTTAACAACACATAAGCTCAAAGGAAAAAAAAAAAGGCTACTACCAATGTATAGTCTCAGGAATGATGAATAAATCTTTGTCATAATGTTTCTACTGCTGTCGGGGGGGGGGGGGGAGGAATGTTGTGGTCCAGATTATGTCACATATTTCCTCTACTGGCTATGTCTGCATCATGGTAGTCTGGTGATGATTTTTGTGAAGGTCATCGAATCGGTTTTCCTTGCACTGACTCCATGCTCATCTAGCAGCGTTTTGATTTTGATTTCTTATTTCTTATCTAGATTTGCTTTTAGAAGACAATGCACAGTGACAAAGACTATTGCAACTACATATTAGTTTCTATTGCAGAGTATCTTTTTAGAATTAATAAAATCACATTCTGGTTTATACCTAAGTCTTTTGAAAGTTAGCATGAATTAAATCTTCAGAGGCTGTCCTTCAGCACTGAAATCCAAACCCTACACTGGGAGTGATCCTTTCTCCTGCTGCAGCCATTCGAACAGCAAGATGGCATTTCCACCTCTTTTAAGAACTAAAAAGTAGCTAATACTATAGTGGTAATCATTCTACAATATATAAGTGTTGATTACAATATATAGGTGTATCAAATCAACACATGGTATGCCTTAAACTGTTGTACCTGTTAAACTTACACAATGTTATATTTAAAAAGTTAAACAGAGTCCACATCCTTAGCTCCTCATCTACTTAATAAAATCTCTGAAAAATGAAACAACTTTTATTATAAAGAGATGTATATCCCCATCATATATTTTAGAGGAAGACTAGTATTTATCTTCATAATGATAACAGAGTTTGACTATTATAAGTTAGTGAGAGGCCTTAAAATTATTGAAATGCTGACCTGTAGTTGTTTTTAAAAACAAAAAACACCTCAATATCACTTCCATTAGTGCCATTCTTTGGAGATATATGTGTGTGTGTGTGTGTGTGTGTGTGTGTGTGTGTATATATATATATATATATATTATCCTCACCTGAGAACATTTTTCCATATTTTGTTCAGATAGAGTGGGAGGGAAAGAGAGGAAGACAGACAGAGAGAAACATCGACGTGAAAGGGACACATCGAGTGGCTGCCTCCCACATGACCCAACCAGGGCCGGGGACAAACTGCAACCAAGGTACATGCCCTTAGTGGGAACCTAACCCACGTCTCTCTGGACCGCAGGCCGATGCTCTAACCACTGAGTCAAACCGGCCAGGGTGGTAAAATATTCTTAAATCAATTCATAAGTTAGTAGAGGGAACATGCTATAGTTTATCCTGTTAAATATATTAGGAATCCTTGCCATAAAACATTCTTTTGTGGCCAAGAAAAACCAATAACTTCTGCCCTTAAATATTCAGGCCTGGCAAATGACAAAGGAGTTCTGAAAATTCACCTCTCCATAAAAATAATGAAAACTGATCGTTTCAGAACTGGAAACTAACCAAAATCTTGCAGCAACCCAGAAGATATTTATCCAAGAAAAACAGCTGAATCTCAGGAAGAACAAGCTTTGTGGCATATTAACGTATCCTAGTCTCTCATTCTTTGCACCCTAGCTCAGTGGTAGCGTTGAAAAATAACAGCCCACATTCTTGGTACCAGAGGGAGCAGAACAAAGCTGGAGCTTATTCTGAAGACAAACTATAATTATTTGATCTCTCTGGCAGTTCCCTGGAAGACCCCATTCAAAGTCTTATCTTTATTTGACCTGACTAAAGCTCACCTACTGCTAAAAGCCTCTCTGTAGAGTCATTTGTCAAAAACATTTACTGGCAAATATTTTAATCACAGCTGCCTGAGGTGATAAATAACAGTTGGGACAAACAATAGGCTAAACAAAAAGCTTTTAAAAAATGCAGAGGAACGAGATATCCATAGCTTTGAAAATCTCCAACATATTCTTAGGAACCTAGAAAGCCATGCATGTGAGGAAGGCCATTCACATGCTCAAAATAAAAAGACCCGAGAAGGCCCTAAGCTTTACCTCTGGCTGACCTTCACACTCCATACAAGCAAGAAGTAAAGACTAAGGCATACTCTAAACTGCTGTGGAAGATGTGTCTTGACATGTATACAGAGCCCTTTGCAAATACTGGGAGATTTATTGGTTACAGATGTTTAAAGAAATCTGTCCATTCATTAGCTGATGACTAAGCTGAGTAGAGCTTTCATTGGCCACACATAATAAAGCATAGAAACTTTACTTAAGTCGTTTACTTAAGTCACTAAATAAACAGCAACTAAAACAATTAGCAACCACAGCAAACCTTGGGGAGGAGGGCAGAGTCTGATTTTCAGAGTTGCCAAATTTCGTTTTCAACAAAAATGACATGCAAAAAAACAACAAAGTATGGATCATAAACAGGAAAAAAAAATCAATAGAAATGATACCTGAAGAAGCCCTGATATTGCACTTACTAGACAAAGGCTTTAAATCAGCTATTTTAAACATGTTCAAAAAACTAAAGGAAATTATGTCTGAAGACCAAAAGGAAAGTATGAAAACAATGTCTTACCAAATAGAGAATATCAAGAAAGAGGTAAATTATAAAAAGAAACCACATAGAATTCCTGAAGTTGGAAAGTACAATGACAGGAATGAAAAATTCACTAGAGCAGCTCAAGCAGATTTGAGCAGACAAACCAAGAGAATCTACGAGATTGAAGATAAATAAATTGAGAAACAAAAAGAAAAAAGAATGAAGAAAAATAAGGAGATCTTCAGAGACCTGTCTGACACTTCAAGGTTACCAACAGTGTATGAGGGAAGTCCAAGAAGGAGAGGCAAGAAAGTGCTAGAAAGAATATTTAAAGACAGAATGACCCTAAACTCCCCAAATTTGATGAAAAATGTTAATCCATGCATGCAAGAAAGTAACAACTGCTAGTAGGATCAACTCAAAGCCAT